GTCTTAAAATTGGATTTTTAGAATCTACGGTCCATAAGCTTTCTATCGATGCCTTACTCGTGTATCAAAAGACAGTTTATGAAGAAACAAAGCAGGTTATTCCAGGTCCGACTTTTCGTTGCCGAGATATGGACGCTAACTTAAAAAGGGCGTGGTCAAAATTTTTGATGACGTCGTTTTCTGAATCAGAATTTTACGCTGATTCGAATGGTGGTGTCTACGTCGCGGTCCGACTTTTCGTTGCCGAGATAGGGACGCTTACTTAAAAAGGGCGTGGTCAAAATTTTTGATGACGTCATTTTCTGAATTAGAATTTTACGCTGATTCGAATGCTGGTGTCTACGTCGCGATCTGAGTTTTCGTTGCCGAGATATGGACGCTAACTTAAAAAGCTCTTGTAGCAGAGACTTGAATTTGGGCTAGCCTGAAGGTTGTATTTCAGGAATCTATGATGCATAAGCTTTCCGTCGATGCTTCATTCGTGCATCACTAGGCCGGATCTGGGGAAAAGAGCAGTCTCTTTCCAGCTGTGTAATCGAAAAAGACGATAAAGTTAGAATTTTACAAGTGAGGGTTAGGGTTTGGGCTGTCTCGAATGTGATGTTCTATTGAATGTCAAGGACCCTGTAGCGAAGACGTGAATTTGGCACGGTCTTAAAATCTGATTTTTATAATCTACGGTCCATAAGCTTTCTATCGATGTCTTACTCGTGTATCAAAAGACAGTTTATGAAGAAATAGAGCAGGTTACTCCAGGTACATAATCGAAAAAGACGTGAAAATTAATATTATGCGGTTTCCAACCTAATGTTCTATCGATTTTCAAGGCTCTTGTAGCAGAGACTTGAATTTGGGCTATCCTGAAGGTTGTATTTCAGGAATCTATGATGCATAAGCTTTCCGTCGATGCCTCATTCGTGCATCACTAGGCCGGATCTGGGGAAAAAAGCAGTCTCTTTCCAGCTGTGTAATCGAAAAAGACGATAAAGTTAGAATTTTATAAGTGAGGGTTAGGGTTTGGGCTGTCTCGAACGTGATGTTCTATTGAATGTCAAGGACCCTGTAGCGAAGACGTGAATTTGGCACGGTCTTAAAATCTGATTTTTATAATCTACGGTCCATAAGCTTTCTATCGATGTCTTACTCGTGTATCAAAAGACAGTTTATGAAGAAATAGAGCAGGTTACTCCAGGTGCATAATCGAAAAAGACGTGAAAATTAATATTATGCGGTTTCCAACCTAATGTTCTATCGATTTTCAAGGCTCTTGTAGCAGAGACTTGAATTTGGGCTATCCTGAAGGTTGTATTTCAGGAATCTATGATGCATAAGCTTTCCGTCGATGCCTCATTCGTGCATCACTAGGCCGGATCTGGGGAAAAAAGCAGTCTCTTTCCAGCTGTGTAATCGAAAAAGACGATAAAGTTAGAATTTTATAAGTGAGGGTTAGGGTTTGGGCTGTCTCGAATGTGATGTTCTATTGAATTTCAAGGTCCCTGTAGCGAACAGGTGAATTTGGCACAATCTTAAAATTGAATTTTTAGAATCTACGGTCCATAAGCTTTCTATCGATGCCTTACTCGTGTATCAAAAGACAGTTTATGAAGAAACAAAGCAGGTTATTCCAGGTCCGACTTTTCGTTGCCAAGATATCGACGGTAACTTAAAAAGGGCGTGGTCACAATTTTTGATGACGTCATTTTCTAAATCAGAATGTTACGCTGATTCGAATGGTGGTGTTTACGTTGCGGTCCGACTTTTCGTTGCCGAGATACGGACGGTAACTAAAAAAGGGCGTGGTCAAAATTTTTGATGACGTCATTTTCTAAATCAGAATTTTACGCTGATTCGAATGGTGGTCTCTACGTCGCGGTCCGACTTTTCGTTGCCGAGATACGGACGGTAACTAAAAAAGGGCGTGGTCAAAATTTTTGATGACGTCATTTTCTAAATCAGAATCTTACGCTGATTCGAATGGTGGTGTTTACGTCGCGGTCCGACTTTTCGTTGCCGAGATACGGACGGTTACTAAAAAAGGGCGTCGTCAAAATTTTTGATGACGTCATTTTCTAAATCAGAATTTTACGCTGATTCGAATGGTGGTGTCTACGTCGCGGTTCGACTTTTCGTTGCCGAGATACGGACGGTAACTTAAAAAGGGCGTGGTCAAAATTTTTGATGACGTCATTTTCTAAATCAGAATTTTACGCTGATTGGAATGGTGGTGTCTACGTCGCGGTCCGACTTTTCGTTGCCGAGATACGGACGGTAACTTAAAAAGGGCGTGGTCAAAATTTTTGATGACGTCATTTTCAAAATCAGAATTTTACGCTGATTCGAATGGTGGTGTCTACGTCGCGGTCCGACTTTTCGTAGCCGAGATACGGACGGTAACTAAAAAAGGGCGTGGTCAAAATTTTTGATGACGTCATTTTCTAAATCAGAATTTTACGCTGATTCGAATGGTGGTGTTTACGTCGCGGTCCGACTTTTCGTTGCCGAGATACGGACGGTAACTTAAAAAGGGCGTGGTCAAAATTTTTGATGACGTCATTTTCTAAATCAGAACTTTACGCTGATTCGAATGGTGGTGTTTACGTCGCGGTCCGACTTTTCGTTGCCGAGATACGGACGGTAACTTAAAAAGGGCGTGGTCAAAATTTTTGATGGCGTCATTTTTTAAATCAGAATTTTACGCTGATTTGAATGGTGGTGTTTACGTCGCGGTCCGACTTTTCATTGCCGAGATACGGACGGTAACTTAAAAAGGGCGTGGTCAAAATTTTTGATGACGTCATTTTCTAAATCAGAATTTTACGCTGATTCGAATGGTGGTGTCTACGTCGCGGTCCGACTTTTCGTTGCTGAGATACGGACGGTAACATAAAAAGGGCGTGGTCAAAATTTTTGATGACGTCATTTTCTAAATCAGAATTTTACGCTGATTCGAATGGTGGTGTCTACGTCGCGGTCCGACTTTTCGTTGCCGAGATACGGACGGTAACTTAAAAAGGGCGTGGTCAAAATTTTTGATGACGTCATTTTGTTAAGAGGATATTAATAAAAGTTGTTCGTCTTGATGAGGGCTACAACTTTGCTTAACATATTTTTGACAAATTATGCGTATTTAAGGAGATACGTCTGCGCATGCGCTGTAGCGTAACTCTTTACGCTTGCATATTTTGTTAAGAAGATATTAATAAAAGTTGTTCGTCTTGATGAGGGCTACAACTTTGCTTAATATCTTTTTAACAAATTATGCGTCTTTAAGGAGATACGTCTGTGCATGCGCAATAGCGTAACTCCTTACGCTTGCATATTTTGTTAGGAAGATATTAATAAAAGTTGTTCGTCTTGATGAGGGCTACAACTTTGCTTAATATCTTTTTAACAAATTATGCGTATTTAAGGAGATACGTCTACGCATGCGCAGTAGCGTAACTCTTAACGCTTGCATATTTTGTTAAGAAGATATTAATAAAAGTTGTTCGTCTTGATGAGGGCTACAACTTTGCTTAATATCTTTTTAACAAATTATGCGTCTTTAAGGAGATACGTCTGTGCATGCGCAATACCGTAACTCCTTACGCTTGCATATTTTGTTAGGAAGATATTAATAAAAGCTGTTCGTCTTGATGAGGGCTACAACTTTGCTTAATATCTTTTTAACAAATTATGCGTATTTAAGGAAATACGTCTGCGCATGCGCAATAGCGTAACTCCTTACGCTTGCATATTTTGTTAGGAAGATATTAATAACAGTTGTTCGTCTTGATGAGGGCTACAACTTTCCTTAATATCTTTTTAACAAATTATGCGTATTTAAGGAGATACGTCTACGCATGCGCAGTAGCGTAACTCTTAACGCTTGCATATTTTGTTAAGAAGATATTAATAAAAGTTGTTCGTCTTGATGAGGGCTACAACTTTGCTTAATATCTTTTTAACAAATTATGCGTCTTTAAGGAGATACGTCTGTGCATGCGCAATACCGTAACTCCTTACGCTTGCATATTTTGTTAGGAAGATATTAATAAAAGTTGTTCGTCTTGATGAGAGCTACACCTTTGCTTAATGTCTTTTAAACAAATTATGCGTATTTAAGGAAATACGTCTGCGCATGCGCAGTAGCGTAACTCCTTACACTTGCATATTTTGTTAAGAAGATATTAATAAGATACTCATATTTTGTAGCGGACTCTCAATATTTTTTTCCCTTTATATAATCTGGCTATTTTTTACTCTTTTTATAGTTCTATGTGAGAAATCGTTTTCCAAGTAGTATAAAATATTGCTATGTTGAACCTGGCCCGAAGAGATCCAGCTAATCATTCTGTGTTGATTTCATATTGAATTCTTTCACCGCGTTCACCGCCATTCACCGCATAATAGTCTCCTACACCGCATGAGATAAGCAGGTCACAACAATTTACTACTGTCTTTAATTTCACAAAAATTGCAGATCGTCCCTGGTGGCTTAGTGGTAGTTCGTCTGGCCTGTCTCTATTAACGTTTGGGTTCAAATCCCGCTGAACTCATATTTTGTAGCGGACTCTCAATATTTTTTTTCCTTTATTTATTGTTGCTATTTTTTATACTTTTTATACTTCTATGTGAGAAATCGCTTTGCAAGTAGCATAAAATATTGCTATTTTGAACTTGGCCCAAAGAGATCCAGCTAATAATTCTGTGTTGATTTCATATTGAATTCTTTCACGGCGTTCACCACCATTCAGCGCATAATAGTCTCGTACACCGCATGAGATAAGCAGGTCACAACAATCTACTATTGTCTTTAATTTCACAAAAATTTCAGATCGTCCCTGGTGGCTTAGTGGTAGTTCGTCTGGCCTGTCTCTATTAACGTTTGGGTTCAAATCACGTTGAACTCATATTTTGTAGCGGACTCACAATATTTTTTTTCCCTTTATATAATCTGGCTATTTTTTACTCTTTTTATAGTTCTATGTGAGAAATCGCTTTGCAAGTAGTATAAAATATTGCTATGTTGAACCTGGCCCGAAGAGATCCAGCTAATCATTCTGTGTTGATTTCATATTGAATTAATTCACCGCGTTCACCGCCATTCACCGCATAATAGTCTCCTACACCGCATGAGATAAGCAGGTCAGAACAATCTACTATTGTCTTTAATTTCACAAAAATTTCAGATCGTCCCTGGTGGCTTAGTGGTAGTTCGTCTGCCCTGTCTCTATTAACGTTTGGGTTCAAATCACGTTGAACTGATATTTTGTAGCGGACTCTCAATATTTTTTTTCTTTATTTATTCTTGCTATTTTTTATACTTTTTATAGTTCTATGCGAGAAATCGCTTTGCAAGTAGTATAAAATATTGCTATGTTGAACCTGGCCCGAAGAGATCCAGCTAATCATTCTGTGTTGATTTCAAATTGAATTCTTTCACCGCGTTCACCGCCATTCACCGCATAATAGTCTCCTACACCGCATGAGATAAGCAGGTCACAACAATCTACTATTGTCTTTAATTTCACAAAAATTTCAGATCGTCCCTGGTGGCTTAGTGGTAGTTCGTTTGGCCTATCTCGATAAACGTTTGAGTTCAAATCACGCTGAACTCATATTTTGTAGCAGACTCACAAATTTTTTTCCTTTTAATCTTTATATAATCTGGCTATTTTTTACTCTTTTTATATTTCTATGTGAGAAATTGCTTTACAAGGAGAAAAAAATATTGCTATGTTGAACCTGGCCTGAAGAGATCCAGCTAATCATTCTGTGTTGATTTCATATTGAATTCTTTCACCGCGTTCACCGCCATTCACCGCATAATAGTCTCCTACACCGCATGAGATAAGCAGGTCACAACAATTTACTATTGTCTTTAATTTCACAAAAATTGCAGATCGTCCCTGGTGGCTTAGTGGTAGTTCGTCTGCCCTGTCTCGATTAACGTTTGGGTTCAAATCCCGTTGAACTCATATTTTGTAGCGGACTCTCAATATTTTTTTTTCCTTTATTTATTGTTGCTATTTTTTATACTTTTTATACTTCTATGTGAGAAATCGCTTTGCAAGTAGCATAAAATATTGCTATTTTGAACTTGGCCCAAAGAGATCCAGCTAATAATTCTGTGTTGATTTCATATTGAATTCTTTCACGGCGTTCACCACCATTCACCGCATAATAGTCTCGTACACCGCATGAGATAAGCAGGTCACAACAATCTACTATTGTCTTTAATTTCACAAAAATTTCAGATCGTCCCTGGTGGCTTAGTGGTAGTTCCTCTGGCCTGTCTCTATTAACGTTTGTGTTCAAATCACGTTGAACTCATATTTTGTAGCGGACTCACAATATTTTTTTTCCCTTTATATAATCAGGCTATTTTTTACTCTTTTTATAGTTCTATGTGAGATATCGCTTTGCAAGTAGTATAAAATATTGCTATGTTGAACCTGGCCCGAAGAGATCCAGCTAATCATTCCGTGTTGATTTCATATTGAATTCTTTCACCGCGTTCACCGCCATTCACCGCATAATAGTCTCCTACACCGCATGAGATAAGCAGGTCACAACAATCTACTATTGTCTTTAATTTCACAAAAATTTCAGATCGTCCCTGGTGGCTTAGTGGTAGTTCGTCTGGCCTGTCTCTATTAACGTTTGGGTTCAAATCACGTTGAACTCATATTTTGTAGCGGACTCACAATATTTTTTTTCCCTTTATATAATCTGGCTATTTTTTACTCTTTTTATAGTTCTATGTGAGAAATCGTTTTCCAAGTAGTATAAAATATTGCTATGTTGAACCTGGCCCGAAGAAATCCAGCTAATCATTCTGTGTTGATTTCATATTGAATTCTTTCACCGCGTTCACCGCCATTCACCGCATAATAGTCTCCTACACCGCATGAGATAAGCAGGTCACAACAATTTACTAATCTCTTTAATTTCACAAAAATTTCAGATCGTCCCTGGTGGCTTAGTGGTAGTTCGTCTGGCCTGTCTCTATTAACGTTTGGGTTCAAATCACGTTGAACTCATATTTTGTAGCGGACTCACAATATTTTTTTTCCCTTTATATAATCTGGCTATTTTTTACTCTTTTTATAGTTCTATGTGAGATATCGCTTTGCAAGTAGTATAAAATATTGCTATGTTGAACCTGGCCCGAAGAGATCCAGCTAATCATTCCGTGTTAATTTCATATTGAATTCTTTCACCGCATTCACCGCCATTCACCGCATAATAGTCTCCTACACCGCATGAGATAAGCAGGTCACAACAATCTACTATTGTCTTTAATTTCACAAAAATTTCAGATCGTCCCTGGTGGCTTAGTGGTAGTTCGTTTGGCCTATCTCGATAAACGTTTGAGTTGAAATCACGCTGAACTCATATTTTGTAGCAGACTCACAATTTTTTTTCCCTTTAATCTTTATATAATCTGGCTATTTTTTACTCTTTTTATATTTCTATGTGAGAAATTGCTTTACAAGCAGAAAAAATATTGCTATGTTGAACCTGGCCTGAAGAGATCCAGCTAATCATTCTGTGTTGATTTCATATTGAATTCTTTCACCGCGTTCACCGCCATTCACCGCATAATAGTCTCCTACACCGCATGAGATAAGCAGGTCACAACAATCTACTATTGTCTTTAATTTCACAAAAAATTCAGATCGTCCCTGGTGGCTTAGTGGTAGGTCGTTTGGCCTGTCTCTATTAACGTTTGGGTTCAAATCACGTTGAACTCATATTTTGTAGCGGACTCACAAGATTTTTTTTCCTTTATTTATTCTTGCTATTTTTTATACTTTTTATAGTTCTATGTGAGAAATCGCTTTGCAAGTAGTATAAAATATTGCTATTTTGAACTTGGCCCGAAGAGATCCAGCTAATCATTCTGTGTTGATTTCATATTGAATTCTTTCACGGCGTTCACCGCCATTCAGCGCATAATAGTCTCGTACCCCGCATGAGATAAGCAGGTCACAACAATCTACTATTGTCTTTAATTTCACAAAAATTTCAGATCGTCCCTGGTGGCTTAGTGGTAGTTCGTCTGGCCTGTCTCTATTAACGTTTGGGTTCAAATCCCGTTGAACTCATATTTTGTAGCAGACTCTCAATATTTTTTTCCTTTATTTATTCTTGCTATTTCTTATACTTTTTATACTTCTATGTGAGAAATCGCTTTGCAAGTAGTATAAAATATTGCTATGTTGAACCTGGCCCGAAGAGATCCAGCTAATCGTTCTGTGTTGATTTCACATTGAATTCTTTCACCGCGTTCACCGCCATTCACCGCATAATAGTTTCCTACACCGCATGAGATAAGCAGGTCACAACAATCTACTATTGTCTTTAATTTCACAAAAATTTCAGATCGTCGCTGGTGGCTTAGTGGTAGTTCGTTTGGCCTATCTCGATAAACGTTTGAGTTCAAATCACGCTGAACTCACATTTTGTAGCAGACTCACAATCTTTTTCCCTTTAATCTTTATATAATCTGGCTATTTTTTACTCTTTTTATATTTCTATGTGAGAAATTGCTTTACAAGCAGAAAAAATATTGCTATGTTGAACCTGGCCCGAAGAGATCCAGCTAATCATTCTGTGTTGATTTCATATTGAATTCTTTCACCGCGTTCACCGCCATTCACCGCATAATAGTCTCCTACACCGCATGAGATAAGCAGGTCACAACAATCTACTATTGTCTTTAATTTCACAAAAATTTCAGATCGTCCCTGGTGGCTTAGTGGTAGTTCGTTTGGCCTGTCTCTATTAACGTTTGGGTTCAAATCCCGTTGAACTCATATTTTTTAGCGGACTCTCAATATTTTTTTTCCTTTATTTATTCTTGCTATTTTTTATACTTTTTGTACTTCTATGTGAGAAATCGCTTTGCAAGTAGTATAAAATATTGCTATGTTGAACCTGGCCCGAAGAGATCCAGCTAATCATTCTATGTTGATTTCATATTGAATTCTTTCACCGCGTTCACCGCCATTCACCGCATAATAGTCTCCTACACCGCATGAGATAAGCAGGTCACAACAATCTACTATTGTCTTTAATTTCACAAAAATTTCAGATCGTCCCTAGTGGCTTAGTGGTAGTTCGTCTGGCCTGTCTCTATTAACGTTTGGGTTCAAATCACGTTGAACTCATATTTTGTAGCGGACTCACAATATTTTTTTCCCTTTATATAATCTGGCTATTTTTTACTCTTTTTATAGTTCAATGTGAGAAATCGCTTTGCAAGTAGTATAAAATAATGCTATGTTGAACCTGGCCCGAAGAGATCCAGCTAATCATTCTGTGTTGATTTCATATTGAATTCTTTCACCGCGTTCACCGCCATTCACCGCATAATAGTCTCCTACACCGCATGAGATAAGCAGGTCACAACAATCTACTATTCTCTTTAATTTCACAAAAATTTCAGATCGTCCCTGGTGGCTTAGTGGTAGTTCGTCTGGCCTGTCTCTATTAACGTTTGGGTTCAAATCACGTTGAACTCATATTTTGTAGCGGACTCTCAATATTTTTTTTCCCTTTATATAATCTGGCTATTTTTTACTCTTTTTATAGTTCTATGTGAGAAATCGCTTTGCAAGTAGTATAAAATAATGCTATGTTGAACCTGGCCCGAAGAGATCCAGCTAATCATTCTGTGTTGATTTCATATTGAATTCTTTCACCGCGTTCACCGCCATTCACCGCATAATAGTCTCCTACACCGCATGAGATAAGCAGGTCACAACAATCTACTATTGTCTTTAATTTCACAAAAATTTCAGATCGTCCCTGGTGGCTTAGTGGTAGTTCGTCTGGCCTGTCTCTATTAACGTTTGGGTTCAAATCACGTTGAACTCATATTTTGTAGCGGACTCACAATATTTTTTTTCCCTTTATATAATCTGGCTATTTTTTACTCTTTTTATAGTTCTATGTGAGAAATCGCTTTGCAAGTAGTATAAAATATTGCTATGTTGAACCTGGCCCGAAGAGATCCAGCTAATCATTCTGTGTTGATTTCATATTGAATTCTTTCACCGCGTTCACCGCCATTCACCGCATAATAGTCTCCTACACCGCATGAGATAAGCAGGTCACAACAATCTACTATTGTCTTTAATTTCACCAAAATTTCAGATCGTCCCTGGTGGCTTAGTGGTAGTTCGTCTGGCCTGTCTCTATTAACGTTTGGGTTCAAATCACGTTGAACTCATATTTTGTAGCGGACTCTCAATATTTTTTTTCCTTTATATAATCTTGGCTATTTTTTATACTTTTTATACTTCTATGTGAGAAATCGCTTTGCAAGTAGTATAAAATATTGCTATTTTGAACTTGGCCCAAAGAGATCCAGCTAATCATTCTGTGTTGATTTCATATTGAATTCTTTCACCGCGTTCACCGCCATTCACCGCATAATAGTCTCCTACACCGCATGAGATAAGCAGGTCACAACAATCTACTATTGTCTTTAATTTCACAAAAATTTCAGATCGTCCCTGGTGGCTTAGTGGTAGTTCGTCTGGCCTGTCTCTATTAACGTTTGGGTTCAAATCACGTTGAACTCATATTTTGTAGCGGACTCACAATATTTTTTTTCCCTTTATATAATCTGGCTATTTTTTACTCTTTTTATAGTTCTATGTGAGAAATCGCTTTGCAAGTAGTATAAAATATTGCTATGTTGAACCTGGCCCGAAGAGATCCAGCTAATCATTCTGTGTTGATTTCATATTGAATTCTTTCACCGCGTTCACCGCCATTCACCGCATAATAGTCTCCTACACCGCATGAGATAAGCAGGTCACAACAATCTACTATTGTCTTTAATTTCACAAAAATTTCAGATCGTCCCTGGTGGCTTAGTGGTAGTTCGTCTGGCCTGTCTCTATTAACGTTTGGGTTCAAATCACGTTGAACTCATATTTTGTAGCGGACTCTCAATATTTTTTTTCCCTTTATATAATCTGGCTATTTTTTACTCTTTTTATAGTTCTATGTGAGATATCGCTTTGCAAGTAGTATAAAATATTGCTATGTTGAACCTGGCCCGAAGAGATCCAGCTAATCATTCCGTGTTAATTTCATATTGAATTCTTTCACCGCGTTCACCGCCATTCACCGCATAATAGTCTCCTACACCGCATGAGATAAGCAGGTCACAACAATCTACTATTGTCTTTAATTTCACAAAAATTTCAGATCATCCCTGGTGGCTTAGTGGTAGTTCGTCTGGCCTGTCTCTATTAACGTTTGGGTTCAAATCACGTTGAACTCATATTTTGTAGCGGACTCTCAATATTGTTTTTCCCTTTATATAATCTGGCTATTTTTTACTCTTTTTATAGTTCTATGTGAGAAATCGCTTTGCAAGTAGTATAAAATATTGCTATGTTGAACCTGGCCCGAAGAGATCCAGCTAATCATTCTGTGTTGATTTCATATTGAATTCTTTCACCGCGTTCACCGCCATTCACCGCATAATAGTCTCCTACACCGTATGAGATAAGCAGGTCACAACAATCTACTATTGTCTTTAATTTCACAAAAAATTCAGATCGTCCCTGGTGGCTTAGTGGTAGTTCGTTTGGCCTATCTCGATAAACGTTTGAGTTGAAATCACGCTGAACTCATATTTTGTAGCAGACTCACAAACTTTTTTCCCTTTAATCTTTATATAATCTGGCTATTTTTTACTCTTTTTATATTTCTATGTGAGAAATTGCTTTAAAAGCAGAAAAAAATATTGCTATGTTGAACCTGGCCTGAAGAGATCCAGCTAATCATTCTGTGTTGATTTCATATTGAATTCTTTCACCGCGTTCACCGCCATTCACCGCATAATAGTCTCCTACACCGCATGAGATAAGCAGGTCACAACAATCTACTATTGTCTTTAATTTCACAAAAATTTCAGATCGTCCCTGGTGGCTTAGTGGTAGTTCGTCTGGCCTGTCTCTATTAACGTTTGGGTTCAAATCACGTTGAACTGATATTTTGTAGCGGACTCTCAATATTTTTTTTCTTTATTTATTCTTGCTATTTTTTATACTTTTTATAGTTCTATGCGAGAAATCGCTTTGCAAGTAGTATAAAATATTGCTATGTTGAACCTGGCCCGAAGAGATCCAGCTAATCATTCTGTGTTGATTTCAAATTGAATTCTTTCACCGCGTTCACCGCCATTCACCGCATAATAGTCTCCTACACCGCATGAGATAAGCAGGTCACAACAATCTACTATTGTCTTTAATTTCACAAAAATTTCAGATCGTCCCTGGTGGCTTAGTGGTAGTTCGTCTGGCCTGTCTCTATTAACGTTTGGGTTGAAATCCCGTTGAACTCATATTTTGTAGCGGACTCTCAATATTTTTTTTCCCTTTATATAATCTGGCTATTTTTTACTCTTTTTATAGTTCTATGTGAGAAATCGCTTTGCAAGTAGTATAAAATATTGCTATGTTGAACCTAGCCCGAAGAGATCCAGCTAATCATTCTGTGTTGATTTCATATTGAATTTTTTCACCGCGTTCACCGCCATTCACCGCATAATAGTCTCCTACACCGTATGAGATAAGCAGGTCACAACAATCTACTATTGTCTTTAATTTCACAAAAATTTCAGATCGTCCCTGGTGGCTTAGTGGTAGGTCGTTTGGCCTGTCTCTATTAACGTTTGGGTTCAAATCCCGTTGAACTCATATTTTGTAGCGGACTCTCAATATTTTTTTTCCTTTATTTATTCTTGCTATTTTTTATACTCTTTATACTTCTATGTGAGAAATCGCTTTGCAAGTAGTATAAAATATTGCTATTTTGAACTTGGGCCGAAGAGATCCAGCTAATCATTCTGTGTTGATTTCATATTGAATTTTTTCACCGCGTTCACCGCCATTCACCGCATTATAGTCTCCTACACTCATGAGATAAGCAGGTCACAACAATTTACTATTGTCTTTAATTTCACAAAAATTTCAGATCGTCCCTGGTGGCTTAGTGGTAGTTCGTCTGGCCTGTCTCTATTAACGTTTGGGTTCAAATCACGTTGAACTCATATTTTGTAGCGGATTCACAATATTTTTTTTCCCTTTATATAATCTGGCTATTTTTTACTCTTTTTATAGTTCTATGTGAGAAATCGTTTTCCAAGTAGTATAAAATATTGCTATGTTGAACCTGGCCCGAAGAGATCCAGCTAATCATTCTGAGTTGATTTCACATTGAATTCTTTCACCGCGTTCACCGCCATTCACCGCATAATAGTCTCCTACACCGCATGAGATAAGCAGGTCACAACAATTTACTATTGTCTTTAATTTCACAAAAATTGCAGATCGTCCCTGGTGGCTTAGTGGTAGTTCGTCTGGCCTGTCTCTATTAACGTTTGGGTTCAAATCCCGTTGAACTCATATTTTGTAGCGGACTCTCAATATTTTTTTTCCTTTATTTATTGTTGCTATTTTTTATACTTTTTATACTTCTATGTGAGAAATCGCTTTGCAAGTAGCATAAAATATTGCTATTTTGAACTTGGCCCAAAGAGATCCAGCTAATAATTCTGTGTTGATTTCATATTGAATTCTTTCACGGCGTTCACCAGCATTCACCGCATAATAGTCTCGTACACCGCATGAGATAAGCAGGTCACAACAATCTACTATTGTCTTTAATTTCACAAAAATTTCAGATCGTCCCTGGTGGCTTAGTGGTAGTTCGTCTGGCCTGTCTCTATTAACGTTTGTGTTCAAATCACGTTGAACTCATATTTTGTAGCGGACTCACAATATTTTTTTTCCTTTATATAATCTGGCTATTTTTTACTCTTTTTATAGTTCTATGTGAGATATCGCTTTGCAAGTAGTATAAAATATTGCTATGTTGAACCTGGCCCGAAGAGATCCAGCTAATCATTCCGTGTTAATTTCATATTGAATTCTTTCACCGCATTCACCGCCATTCACCGCATAATAGTCTCCTGCACCGCATGAGATAAGCAGGTCACAACAATCTACTATTGTCTTTAATTTCACAAAAATTTCAGATCGTCCCTGGTGGCTTAGTGGTAGTTCGTTTGGCCTATCTCGATAAACGTTTGAGTTGAAATCACGCTGAACTCATATTTTGTAGCAGACTCACAAATTTTTTTCCCTTTAATCTTTATATAATCTGGCTATTTTTTACTCTTTTTATATTTCTATGTGAGAAATTGCTTTACAAGCAGAAAAAAATATTGCTATGTTGAACCTGGCCTGAAGAGATCCAGCTAATCATTCTGTGTTGATTTCATATTGAATTCTTTCACCGCGTTCACCGCCATTCACCGCATAATAGTCTCCTACACCGCATGAGATAAGCAGGTCACAACAATCTACTATTGTCTTTAATTTCACAAAAATTTCAGATAGTCCCTGGTGGCTTAGTGGTAGTTCGTCTGGCCTGTCTCTATTAACGTTTGGGTTCAAATCACGTTGAACTCATATTTTGTAGCGGACTCACAATATTTTTTTTCCCTTTATATAATCTGGCTATTTTTTACTCTTTTTATAGTTCTATGTGAGAAATCGGTTTCCAAGTAGTATAAAATATTGCTGTGTTGAACCTGGCCCGAAGAGATCCAGCTAATCATTCTGTGTTGATTTCATATTGAATTCTTTCACCGCGTTCAGCGCCATTCACCGCATAATAGTCTCCTACACCGCATAAGATAAGCAGGTCACAACAATCTACTATTGTCTTTGATTTCACAAAAATTTCAGATCGTCCCTGGTGGCTTAGTGATAGGTCGTTTGGCCTGTCTCTATTAACGTTTGGGTTCAAATCCCGTTGAACTCATATTTTGTAGCGGACTCTCAATATTTTTTTTCCTTTATTTATTCTTGCTATTTTTTATACTTTTTATACTTCTATGTGAGAAATCGCTTTGCAAGTAGTATAAAATATTGCTATTTTGAACTTGGGCCGAAGAGATCCAGCTAATCATTCTGTGTTGATTTCATATTGAATTTTTTCACCGCGTTCACCGCCATTCACCGCATAATAGTCTCCTACACTCATGAGATAAGCAGGTCACAACAATCTACTATTGTCTTTAATTTCACAAAAATTTCAGATCGTCCCTGGTGGTTTAGTGGTAGTTCGTCTGGCCTGTCTCTATTAACGTTTGCGTTCAAATTACGTTGAACTCATATTTTGTAGCAGACTCACAATTTTTTTTCCCTTTAATCTTTATATAATCTGGCTATTTTTTACTCTTTTTATATTTCTATGTGAGAAATTGCTTTACAAGCAGAAAAAAATATTGCTATGTTGAAGCTGGCCCGAAGAGATCCAGCTAATCATTCTGTGTTGATTTCATATTGAATTCTTCAACGCGTTCACCGCCATTCACCGCATAATAGTCTCCTACACCGCATGAGATAAGCAGGTCACAACAATCTACTATTGTCTTTAATTTCGCAAGAACTTCAGATCGTCCCTGGTGGCTTAGTGGTAGTTCGTATGTCCTGTCTCTATTAACGTTTGGGTTCAAATCCCGTTGAACTCATATTTTTTAGCGGACTCTCAATATTTTTTTCCCTTTATTTATTCTTGCTATTTTTTATACTTTTTGTACTTCTATGTGAGAAATCGCTTTGCAAGTAGTATAAAATATTGCTATGTTGAACCTGGCCCGAAGAGATCCAGCTAATCATTCTCTGTTGATTTCATATTGAATTCTTTCACCGCGTTCACCGTCATTCACCGCATAATAGTCTCCTACACCGCATGAGATAAGCAGGTCGCAACAATCTACTATTGTCTTTAATTTCACAAAAATTTCAGATCGTCCCTGGTGGCTTAGTGGTAGTTCGTACGGCCTGTCTCTATTAACGTTTGGGTTCAAATCACGTTGAACTCATATTTTGTAGCGGACTCACAATATTTTTTTCCCTTTATATAATCTGGCTATTTTTTACTCTTTTTATAGTTCTATGTGAGAAATCGCTTTGCAAGTAGTATAAAATATTGCTATGTTGAACCTGGCCCGAAGAGATCCAGCTAATCATTCTGTGTTGATCATTTCATATTGAATTCTTTCACCGCGTTCACCGCCATTCACCGCCATTCACCGCATAATAGTCTCCTACACCGCATGAGATAAGCAGGTCACAACAGTCTACTATTGTCTTTAATTTCACAAAAATTTCAGATCGTCCCTGGTGGCTTAGTGGTAGTTCGTATGGCCTGTCTCTATTAACGTTTGGGTTCAAATCACGTTGAACTCATATTTTGTAGCGGACTCTCAATATTTTTTTTCCTTTATTTATTCTTGCTATTTTTTATACTTTTTATACTTCTATGTGAGAAAACGCTTTGCAAGTAGTATAAAATATTGCTATTTTGAACTTGGCCCGAAGAGATCCAGCTAATCATTCTGTGTTGATTTCATATTGAATTCTTTCACCGCGTTCACCGCCATTCACCGCATAATAGTCTCCTACACCGCATGAGATAAGCAGGTCACAACAATCTACTATTGTCTTTAATTTCACAAAAATTTCAGATCGTCCCTGGTGGCTTAGTGGTAGTTCGTCTTGCCTGTCTCTATTAACGTTTGGGTTCAAATCACGTTGAACTCATATTTTGTAGCGGACTCACAATATTTTTTTTCCCTTTATATAATCTGGCTATTTTTTACTCTTTTTATAGTTCTATGTGCGAAATCGCTTTGCAAGTAGTATCAAATATTGCTATGTTGAACCTGGCCCGAAGAGATCCAGCTAATCATTCTGTGTTGATTTCATATTAAATTCTTTCACCGCGTTCACCGCCATTCACCGCATAATAGTCTCCTACACCGCATGAGATAAGCAGGTCACAACAATCTACTATTGTCTTTAATTTCACAAAAATTTCAGATCGTCCCTGGTGGCTTAGTGGTAGTTCGTTTGGCCTATCTCGATAAACGTTTGAGTTCAAATCACGCTGAACTCATATTTTGTAGCAGACTCACAATTTTTTTTCCCTTTAATCTTTATATAATCTGGCTATTTTTTACTCTTTTTATATTTCTATGTGAGAAATTGCTTTACAAGCAGAAAAAAATATTGCTATGTTGAACCTGGCCTGAAGAGATCCAGCTAATCATTCTGTGTTGATTTCATATTGAATTCTTTCACCGCGTTCACCGCCATTCACCGCATAATAGTCTCCTACACCGCATGAGATAAGCAGGTCACAACAATCTACTATTGTCTTTAATTTCGCAAGAAATTCAGATCGTCCCTGGTGGCTTAGTGGTAGTTCGTCTGTCCTGTCTCTATTAACGTTTGGGTTCAAATCACGTTGAACTCATATTTTTTAGCGGACTCTCAATATTTTTTTTCCTTTATTTATTCTTGCTATTTTTTATACTTTTTGTACTTCTATGTGAGAAATCGCTTTGCAAGTAGTATAAAATATTGCTATGTTGAACCTGGCCCGAAGAGATCCAGCTAATCATTCTGTGTTGATCATTTCATATTGAATTCTTTCACCGCGTTCACCGCCATTCACCGCATAATAGTCTCCTACACCGCATGAGATAAGCAGGTCACAACAGTCTACTATTGTCTTTAATTTCACAAAAATTTCAGATTGTCCCTGGTGGCTTAGTGGTAGTTCGTATGGCCTGTCTCTATTAACGTTTGGGTTCAAATCACGTTGAACTCATATTTTGTAGCGGACTCACAATATTTTTTTTCCCTTTATATAATCTGGCTATTTTTTACTCTTTTTATAGTTCTATGTGAGAAATCGCTTTGCAAGTAGTATAAAATATTGCTATGTTGAACCTGGCCCGAAGAGATCGAGCTAATCATTCTCTGTTGACTTCATATTGAATTCTTTCACCGCGTTCACCGCCATTCACCGCATAATAGTCTCCTACACCGCATGAGATAAGCAGGTCACAACAATTTACTATTGTCTTTAATTTCACAAAAATTTCAGATCGTCTCTGGTGGCTTAGTGGTAGTTCGTCTGGCCTGTCTCTATTAACGTTTGGGTTCAAATCACGTTGAACTCATATTTTGTAGCGGACTCACAATATTTTTTTTCCCTTTATATAATCTGGCTATTTTTACTCTTTTTATAGTTCTATGTGAGAAATCGCTTTGCAAGTAGTATAAAATATTGCTATGTTGAACCTGGCCCGAAGAGATCCAGCTAATCATTCTGTGTTGATTTCATATTGAATTCTTTCACCGCGTTCACCGCCATTCACCGCATAATATTCTCCTACACCGCATGAGATAAGCAGGTCACAACAATCTACTATTGTCTTTAATTTCACAAAAATTTCAGATCGTCCCTGGTGGCTTAGTGGTAGTTCGTATGGCCTGTCTCTATTAACGTTTGGGTTCAAATCACGTTGAACTCATATTTTGTAGCGGACTCACAATATTTTTTTCCCTTTATATAATCTGGCTATTTTTTATACTTTTTATACTTCTATGTGAGAAAACGCTTTGCAAGTAGTATAAAATATTGCTATGTTGAACCTGGCCCGAAGAGATCCAGCTAATCATTCTGTGTTGATTTCATATTGAATTCTTTCACCGCGTTCACCGCCATTCACCGCATAATATTCTCCTACACCGCATGAGATAAGCAGGTCACAACAATCTACTATTGTCTTTAATTTCACAAAAATTTCAGATCGTCCCTGGTGGCTTAGTGGTAGTTTGTCTGGCCTGTCTCTATTAACGTTTGGGTTCAAGTCACGTTGAACTCATATTTTGTAGCGGACTCGCAATATTTTTTTTCCCTTTATATAATCTGGCTATTTTTTACTCTTTTTATAGTTCTATGTGAGAAATCGCTTTTCAAGTAGTATAAAATATTGCTATGTTGAACCTGGCCCGAAGAGATCCAGCTAATCATTCTGTGTTGATTTCATATTGAATTCTTTCACCGCGTTCACCGCCATTCACCGCATAATAGTCTCCTACACTGCATGAGATAAGCAGGTCACAACAATCTACTATTGTCTTTAATTTCACAAAAATTTCAGATCGTCCCTGGTGGCTTAGTGGTAGTTCGTCTGGCCTGTCTCTATTAACGTTTGGGTTCAAATCACGTTGAACTCATTTTTTGTAGCGGACTCACAATATTTTTTTTCCCTTTATATAATCTGGCTATTTTTTACTCTTTTTATAGTTCTATGTGAGAAATCGCTTTGCAAGTAGTATAAAATATTGCTATGTTGAACCTGGCCCGAAGAGATCCAGCTAATCATTCTGTGTTGATTTCATATTGAATTCTTTCACCGCGTTCACCGCCATTCACCGCATAATAGTCTCCTACACCGCATGAGATAAGCAGGTCACAACAATCTACTATTGTCTTTAATTTCACAAAGATTTGAGATCGTCCCTAGTGGCTTAGTGGTAGTTTGTCTGGCCTGTCTCTATTAACGTTTGGGTTCAAATCACGTTGAACTCATATTTTGTAGCGGACTCACAATATTTTTTTTCCTTTATATAATCTGGCTATTTTTTACTCTTTTTATAGTTCTATGTGCGAAATCGCTTTGCAAGTAGTATAAAATATTGCTATGTTGAACCTGGCCCGAAGAGATCCAGCTAATCATTCTGTGTTGATTTCATATTGAATTCTTTCACCGCGTTTACCGCCATTCACCGCATAATAGTCTCCTACACCGCATGAGATAAGCAGGTCACAACAATCTACTATTGTCTTTAATTTCACAAAAATTTCAGATCGTCCCTAATGGCTTAGTGGTAGTTTGTCTGGCCTGTCTCTATTAACGTTTGGGTTCAAATCACGTTGAACTCATATTTTGTAGCGGACTCACAATATTGTTTTTCCCTTTATATAATCTGGCTATTTTTTACTCTTTTTATAGTTGTATGTGAGAAATCGCTTTGCAAGTAGTATAAAATATTGTTATGTTGAACCTGGCCCGAAGAGATCCAGCTAATCATTCTGTGTTGATTTCATATTGATTTCTTTCACCGCGTTCACCGCCATTCACCGCATAATAGTCTCCTACACCGCATGAGAAATGTACATATCATAAGGCACCGGTAAATACTTTTGTTGAAAAGAGAAATTTCAGAAACTTCAATGAACATGCATATTTGAATGATTTAAATAATCTAAATTGGGAGCAGGTTTGTCTGCATAACGACCCTAATGATATGTGGACTGAATGGTTGAATTTGTTTATGTCTGTGATTGATAAACATGCCCCACTTAAAAAGAAACGTATAGGGAAACGAAAGTCTCCCTGGATTACTTCACATGTAGTTCAGAAAATTCGCGAAAGAGATTATCTAAAAAGGCAATTCGATATTTCACGTGACGATGAAATTTGGTTACAATATAAGAAAGCTCGAAATGAAACTAACAACACTATTAGGCAGGCTAAACATAACTACTTTATCACTAATATTGAGGCTGCACGAAAAGATCCAAGGAAAACTTGGAGACTAGTCAACGATCTGAACTCTCGTAAAGTGAGTGATGTAACCAGTGTCAAGAAAGTCAATCTTGACGGTAATGAAATCACTAATGCGGCTGAAATTTCGGATGCCTTTAATTCATATTTCACCTCGATAGGAGAGAAACTTGCGAACAAAATACCTAGCTCGAATGTTAATCCCGTTTCTTATATTCAAACCACACATAGTGTTTTTTCTTTCGAGGAAATTGGTTTGTCCACTGTAAATTGTTTGCTAAAAACGATTAATGCTAACAAAGCGACCGGCCCTGATAAAGTCCCAGGTAGATTATTGAAAATAGCCGCTGATATTCTTTCCCCCTCGTTAACCAGAATTTTTAATAGATCGCTTTCTATGGGGATTTATCCGACTGATTGGAAAATGGCAAAAGTCTTACCGTTATTCAAAAATGGCGAAAAATGTGATCTAAGTAATTATCGTCCAATTTCAATTATATCGGCGGTTGCCAAAGTTTTTGGTAGAACCGTTTATGACCAATTTTACTCCTATCTGACAAGTAACAACTTACTGTCGAACTATCAGTCAGGGTTTCGAGCATCGTATAGTACCGTTACAGCTTTATTAGAGTCGACTAATAACTGGTGCGTAAATATTGATAAGGGATTGCTTAACGGAGTGATCTTCATTGACCTAAAGAAAGCTTTCGATACAATTGATCACGAAATTCTTATACGTAAACTCAAGTGTTATGGTGTGGATGACAATGCGCTATCGTGGTTTAATTCCTATTTAAACAATCGAAAACAGAAATGCTACGTAAATGGCAAACTCTCTGGTAGTCGTTCTATCTCCCATGGAGTTCCGCAAGGCTCTATTATAGGCCCACTTCTGTTTTTGATCTATATCAATGACTTGCCTAACTGCTTGAACGAGGGTTTACCTAGAATGTATGCTGATGATACGAACATCAGCATGCAAAGTAATAATCTTTCTGAGCTAGAAAATCTTATGAATGCTGAAATAGCCAATTTAAACACATGGCTAGAAGCAAATAAGTTAAGTTTAAATATTGCCAAGACTGAATTTATGATTATTGGATCTCGTCAAAGACTTTCAACCTTTGATAATCAGAATGTGGAAGTATGTGTTAACAATAAACAGATTAATAGAGTGCTGAAGTCTAAGTCATTAGGTTTAACAATTGATGAGAACTTGACTTGGAAATATCATGTTGATAATATCACCAAAAAAGTCTCTTCGGGTATCGGTGCTCTCAAACGAATGAGATATTTTATTACCACAGAAACTGCAATTCGAGTTTACCAAAGTTTGGTGGAGCCCTATTTTTCCTATTGTGCCCCTGTTTGGGATGGCCTAGGTAAAAGCAAAGCGAAAAATTACAAAAATTACAGAATAGGGCCGCCCGTGTTATTACCCGTTCATCTTATGATATTTCATCAAGTTCTCTTCTTGAAGAACTTAATTGGGAATCATTGTCCACTAAGCGATTAAAGCAAAAGGCAATCCTCATGTTTAATACAATTAATAAACATACACCATTCTATTTACAAGAGATGTTTTCTCCCAGTGAGAGTGTTTATAACCTGAGAGATTCTTATGGTAAACTTTATGTCCCAAAACCACGCACAGATTATTTGAAACGCTCCTTCAGTTACAGTGGAGCCTCTTTATGGAATGGCCTGCCAGAATCTCTTAGATCAGTAACCTCTCTCGCTGCATTTAAGACAGGTTTAGAAGCCTTCTTAATAAATAATCGATCTGACTCCCACACGGCAATCAGGTAGAACAGTATCTATATTTCTTTTTGCTCCTTTTAAAATATTTTAATATTTTTGTAAATAACTATACTGATGATTTTCCGTGTTTAAATAAAGTTGATGTATGTATGTATGAGATAAGCAGGTCACAACAATCTACTATTGTCTTTAATTTCACAAAAATTTCAGATCGTCCCTGGTGGCTTAGTGGTAGTTCGTCTGGCCTGTCTCTATTATTTCCTATTCAGTACAAAAAACTAATACACTTGAACGCTTAAAATTTGAGTCTACGTTACCCTCCACCAAAATACCAAACCTTTTAATTTGTAATCTCCGCTCCCTGACGTCCAAGGTCGACGAACTTGACGCTGTGGTGTCTTTTAACCAAACGGACATGGTCTGCATTACAGAGACTTGGTTATCTCCTGCAATTCCTGACAATTTGGTATCCTTGTCCAATTTCAATCTGTTTAGGAACGATAGACTGGTTTCAAACGGCGGACGTGTTTGTGCCTACATAAATAGCAATATCTATTGTAGACGAATTGAGGAATTTGAAAACTCTTCGATTGAATCACTGTGGTTATCAGTGAGACCAAAGAAGCTACCCCGCTCTGTCTCGGTTATCTTACTGGCTGTTGTTTACCATTCAACAGCATCCCGCCAAACTGAAAATGTAGAATTGTATTCACACATTCAAACCAATGTGGACTCATTTTTATATTCCCACCCTGAAGCTTTGGTCCTAATTACGGGCGACTTCAATTTTAGAAGCACGGGTCTCGATGCAAACCATCTTAAAAGAATTGCTGGTCTGACGCAGATAGTCAAGGTAGCTACCAGATCTGATGTAACTTTAGACTGGTGTTTAACCAACTCAAAGGTGGATAATATTTACGAATCAATCCAACTTCCTCCCATTGGAACCAGTGATCATTATACGATTCTTATGAAAGCCCAACCTTCTCCCTCAAAGCCAGACAATTCACATATATGGAAACGCGATCTCAGAGATAGCAGGATACGGCCTTTTGGACGATATATCACTACATTTGACTGGTCTCCTATCTTGGACATACATGACTGTGATACAAAATATGAAAAGTTTAACGATACAATGACTGTGATGATTGAAAAATTCTTTCCCTTGGAACGGATTAAAGTACGAAAGTGTGATAAGCCTTGGATGACGTCATCAATAAAGTCTGCTATTGGGAGACGCCAAAAAGCCTTACACGAAAGCGGGAAAAATTCAGATATTTATAAATATTGGCGTAACAGAGTCCAATCATGCATTAAAGTTGCACGAAAGATCTACTATATGAGGTCAGTTGAGAAATTAAAAAATTCTAACCCGGCAAGATGGTGGAAAGAAGTGAAAGCCATTGGTGGTCTCTCGTCAAAAAATTCTTGGTATTCTCAGCTATTTTCTGATGATGTTCGGAATTGCGAAGAACTGGCCGAAAATTTTAATAACTTTCTTACTGCCCTTACATCACATTTTGACCCTCTAACTCTCGACGAAATCCAGGAGGGCCTAGAAGTACCAAACCATTACCTCGTTGACGCCCAACAGATCTATATGAAACTTAGTAAAATTAAAACCACAAAATCACCGGGTCCTGACATGTTTCCAAATAAAATCCTGAAAACATTTGCCTTTGAGCTTGCCCCAGTTATCTCAGACATTTTCAACTCATCCATGACACAAGGCACCTTCCCAAAGGCATTGAAGAGATCTATTGTAGTGCCTGTCCCTAAGGTATCACCCCCAAAGAATATTGAAGACGACCTACGACCAATATCTTTAACATCTCAGATCGCCAAAGTTATGGAGGATTGTACTTTGGACAATTTTTTTCCTGAAGTTGTAAATAAACTTGACACCAAACAATTTGCACTCCCAAAGAAATCAACGACCCACGCTTTGGTCTACCTTTTACATTCAATCTTGGTTGCTCTTGAGAGAGGTTCCTGTACTGCCAGATTGTTCTTTGCAGATTTCAAGAAAGGTTTTGACCTAGTAGACCACAATGTTATTATTAAAGAATTAACCCTGCTTGGTACCCATCCCTCTATAATTCGGTGGATTAAAGCCTTCCTCTGCGATCGCGAACAATGTGTCCGGGTGGGAACTTCTATGTCCTCTTGGAAGAAAACAAATGGTGGCTTGCCACAAGGTACAAAGTTGGGTCCATTATTGTTTGCTGTTCTCATTAATTCCTTACTCAAAAACTGGCCCAGTAGGATCAAGTTTGTGGATGACACCTCAGCCCTAGAGATTATACCACGTTTTTCATCCAGTTTAATGCCATTAGTCGTAAATGAAATCTCGGACTACGCCTTAGAACGTGGAATGGAACTAAATTATAAGAAATGCAAACAAATGTTGATCAACTTTCTTAAATATAAAGGATCTGATGATGAAAACCCGATCTATGTTGCAGGTAAACCGGTGGAAACTGTGTCCTCTTTCAAACTCCTAGGTGTATGAATATCAAACGACTTGTCATGGAATACTCATGTCGACATGGTATTGAAAAAGGCAAATTCTCGCTTATACGCATTGCGTCTGTTAAAAAAGGCTGGTCTTCAAGCATCTGACATCGTCCAAATATATATCTCATTCATCAGATCCAGAATTGAATATGCATCCCCTGTATGGTCGTCAATACCTAAATCATTATCTGACATTCTCGAATCTGTTCAAAAGAGAGCATTGAGAATAGCTTATCCAGATCTGTTATATGATGAAGCCCTTGAAATTTCAAACTTACAGTATCTGAGTACTCGTAGAGACATCTCTTGCAAGAAATTCGTCGAATCTCTGCGACGTGATGTTTCACCCTACAACCCTTTGACCCAAATTATGGAAATTCGTCCCGGGGTAAAAACTCATGATTATGACTTAAGGAATGACAGAACGGCCGAACAACCTTTATGGTCAGAAACCACTGAACGGTTAAAAAACTTCGTGACTAGGAAATATTATTAGCTTTATAGTTAATTAACAGTCCTAACTAAATAAACATTATTTTATATAATATATATATATGTACATTTTAATATAAATTTTTATGCTATATTAGTACTCCATGTAATTCAGTTTTCCTTTAAAAACTGCAAATTGGTTTTAATTAAACAGATTGATTGATTGATTGATTGATTGATTGATTGATTGATTGATGATTGATTGATTAACGTTTGGGTTCAAATCACGTTGAACTCATATTTTGTAGCGGACTCACAATATTTTTTTTCCCTTTATATAATCTGGCTATTTTTTACTCTTTTTATAGTTCTATGTGCGAAATCGCTTTGCAAGTAGTATAAAATATTGCTATGTTGAACCTGGCCCGAAGAGATCCAGCTAATCATTCTGTGTTGATTTCATATTGAATTCTTTCACCGCGTTCACCGCCATTCCCCGCATAATAGTCTCCTACACCGCATGAGATAAGCAGGTCACAACAATCTACTATTGTCTTTAATTTCACAAAAATTTCAGATCGTCCCTGGTGGCTTAGTGGTAGTTCGTCTGGCCTGTCTCTATTAACGTTTGGGTTCAAATCACGTTGAACTCATATTTTGTAGCGGACTCACGATATTTTTTTTCCCTTTATATAATCTGGCTATTTTTTACTCTTTTTATAGTTCTATGTGAGAAATCGCTTTGCAAGTAGTATAAGATATTGCTATGTTGAACCTGGCCCGAAGAGATCCAGCTAATCATTCTGTGTTGATTTCATATTGAATTCTTTCACCGCGTTCACCGCCATTCACCGCATAATAGTCTCCTACACCGCATGAGATAAGCAGGTCACAACAATCTACTATTGTCTTTAATTTCACAAAAATTTCAGATCGTCCCTGGTGGCTTAGTGGTAGTTCGTTTGGCCTATCTCGATAAATGTTTGAGTTCAAATCACGCTGAACTCATATTTTGTAGCAGACTCACAAATTTTTTTCCCTTTAATCTTTATATAATCTGGCTATTTTTTACTCTTTTTATATTTCTATGTGAGAAATCGCTTTACAAGCAGAAAAAATATTGCTATGTTGAACCTGGCCCGAAGAGATCCAGCTAATCATTTTGTGTTGATTTCATATTGAATTCTTTCACCGCGTTCACCGCCATTCACCGCATAATAGTCTCCTTCACCTCATGAGATAAGCAGGTCACAACAATCTACTATTCTGGCTTTAATTTCACAAGAATTTCAGATCGTTCCTGGTGGCTTAGTGGTAGGCCGTTTGGCCTATCACTATTAACGTTTGGGTTCAAATCCCGTTGAACTCATAGCGGACTCACAATTGTTTTTTTCTTTATTTATTCAGGCTATTTTTTTTTCTTTTTATACTTCTATGTGAGAAATCGCTTTATTGCTATTTCCAACCTGGCCCTTATGCAAATGTTCGTTATCGGTCCTTCATAATAAGTTATACTAACCTTATCCGTTATCCGGGATTCTCGAGTCAACTAAATTTCGGACTGATGGAAAAATTTTTTGTCATACTGGACATAGATCGACCTAGAAAGATTCAGAACGCATAATGATGAAGATAGTTTTGGCTCAGGAGAATTTTAGAACATATTTCAAATTTGAGATGACTTATGCAGATGTTCGTTATCCGTCCTTCATAATAAATTATACTAAGCTTGTCCGCTATCCGGGATCCTCTAGTCAACTAAATTTCGGGCTGATGGAAAAAAAAATTTTGTTATACTGGATATAGATCGACCTAGAAAGATTAAGAACGCATATTGATGAAGATAGTTTTGGCTCAGGAGAATTTTAGAACACATTTTCAAATTTGAGATGACTTATGCAGATGTTCGTTATCCGTCCTTCATAATAAATTATACTAAGCTTGTCCGCTATCCGGGATCCTCTAGTCAACTAAATTTCGAGCTGATGGAAAAATTTTTTTCGTTATACTGGATATAGATCGACCTAGAAAGATTAAGAACGCATATTGATGAAGATAGTTTTGGCTCAGGAGAATTTTAGAACACATTTTCAAATTTGAGATGACTTATGCAGATGTTCGTTATCCGTCCTTCATAATAAATTATACTAAGCTTGTCCGCTATCCGGGATCCTCTAGTCAACTAAATTTCGAGCTGATGGAAAAAATTTTTTCGTTATACTGGATATAGATCGACCTAGAAAGATAAAGAACGCATATTGATGAAGATAGTTATGTCCCGGGAGAATTTTAGAACACATTTTCAAATTTGAGATGACTAGTGCAAATGTTCGTTATCCGTCCTTCATAATAAGTTATACTAACCTTATCCGTTATCCGGGATTCTCGAGTCAACTAAATTTCGGACTGATGGAACATCCGAGTTTTTTCGTCATAGACATAGATCAACCTAAAAAGATTCAAAACGCATATTGATGCAGAAAATTTTGGTTCAGGGGAATTTTAAAGCACATTTTGACTTGCAGACTTGTCGATCCGTCTTAATCAGTAGGCTTATACGGTTTTTTTTTAGATTGTTCTTCGCTCCACGTTACCCGGATTTCTCAACTATACTAGTACTGCAGCTAATTAAAGGGCCACATACTGCTTTTTCATATAGCGATCACAAACAGTGGCTAGCTACAAGGTATGCCGAAATCCCACATCCTTAATTCATCGAGACAAATCGCCGAGGCTACTGCAGGGTATGCCGAAATCTAGCTTCCTTATCATCCAGTATGCCCATGAGCACGCTCGTATATTCGTCTGTTTGTGAGAAAATTTTTCCCTGTCTGGTCGAAATTTTCTAAATATACAGAAATATATGTATATAAAAAACGTGCTGGACATGTTTTACATGGTGAAAGGTTGACAATTTTTGAAAGGAAAATTTTTGCTGTTGAAAACATATATCTTATATGTGTGTAAGTAAAAATTAGTAGAAATAAATAAAAATTTTCAGCTAACACGACGAGAACGGGAGTTGTCTCGTGTTAGCCGCCAGACATGCAGCGTGGATTATCACGTTTTTGCTTAGGTCTGACAAATGTCCGATTAACGAGACTGTTGCTCGGACATTGGCCAAGAATGGTCAGCCAACTATTTAAACCATTTTTACGTGACAGTGCTACAGATCGACGTACCATTATTGATTGCACGTGTGCGTGCAGAAAAAAGCTTGGCGTACGCCAACTAGCAACGTCCTCCGCGCCTTCACTTTGTTTGAGTTTCTTTAGGAAATAAAGGTATTTACTAATATATAAACTAATATAGAAATGAAACATATTTTTGTAAGTAGTAAGTATTGTAAACGCCGCCGGCTATGGACTGTAACTATCGAGATTTTGTCACTTGAGAGAGTATTTGCTAAAAGAGAAGCTCAATGACAATGTTTTCTCTGAGTGATTTTTTCATCCAAATATTTATTGATTGCATGGTATAGTAGGCATAGTTAGATGCTTTTCGGACAGTACTTTTCACATAAACTACCTTCAATTTGAATGAACAGCGTGGTGTATTTTATTTGATCGGACAAAATGTCCGTGCAGAATGAATTTGATCGGCCATTTGGTGTTTTTGTTCGGCAAATAGCCGATTGCCGACCGTTATAATCCACACTGCAGACATGGTGATATATACCATACGGTATCTTAACGAACTACGAGGGAGAGTGCTGGCGGCCCCTAAACCATTATGTGCCGACACCCTTTTCGCAAGATTCTGGAATATATCGCCTTCCACACATTACTACATGGTACGGGTTCCGTGTATATACAGCTGCAACTCCGTTGATGGAAGGCTTGTGGGACGCAATAACCCAGCGCGTGCGCATTGGGTATGCGGGTAACGAAATAACACAATACTCATGCAAAAGCATTCTTATAAAAAAACTACATTTATAATATAGACAGTGTATAACATATAAACATTTTGACATATAAACTTTCCAACAGTATACGTATATGAAATTGAATCCTTATCCGTCCGATCATTATAAATACTATGACGCTTACCCGTTACCCATGGGATCAATCTTGAGTCAACTAAAGTTTGAGACTTAGAAAATTTCGAGCTGATCGAAAAAGTTTTTTCGTCATGGACCAACTTAGAAATGTTCAAAACGCATAATAATGGAGAAAGTTTTGGCTCAGGAGAATTTTAAAGCACATTTAGACATATAAACTTTCAGACAGTATACGTATATGCAAATGAATCCTTACCGGTCCGATCATTATGAATTCTATTACGCTTACCCGTTACCCGTGAGATCAATCTTGAGTCAACTAAAGTTTGAGACTTAGAAAATTTCGAGCTGATCGAAAAAGTTTTTTCGTCATGGACTGACTTAGAAATGTTCAAAACGCATAATGATGGAGAAAGTTTTGGCTCAGGAGAATTTTAAAGCACATTTTGACATATAAACTTTCAGACAGTATACGTATATGCAAATGAATCCTTACCCGTCCGATCATTATGAATTCTATTACGCTTACCCGTTACCCGTGAGATCAATCTTGAGTCAACTAAAGTTTGAGACTTAAAAAATTTCGAGCTGATCGAAAAAGTTTTTTCGTCATGGACCGACTTAGAAATGTTCAAAACGCATAATGATGGAGAAAGTTTTGGCTCAGGAGAATTTTAAAGCACATATTGACATATAAAATTTCAGACAGTATACGTATATGGAAATGAATCCTTACCCGTCCGATCATTATGAATTCTATTACGCTTACCCGTTACCCGTGAGATGAATCTTGAGTCAACTAAAGTTTGAGACTTAGAAAATTTCGAGCTGATCGAAAAAGTTTTTTCGTCATGGACCGACTTAGAAATGTTCAAAACGCATAATGATGGAAAAAGTTTTGGCTCGGGAGAATTTTAAAGCCCATTTTGACATATAAACTTTTAGACAGTATACGTATATGCAAATGAATCCTTGCCCGTCCGATCATTATGAATTCTATTACGCTTACCCGTTACCCGTGAAATGAATCTTGAGTCAACTAAAGTTTGAGACTTAAAAAATTTCGAGCTGATCGAAAAAGTTTTTTCGTCATGGACCGACTTAGAAATGTTCAAAACGCATAATGATGGAGAAAGTTTTGGCTCAGGAGAATTTTAAAGCACATATTGACATATAAAATTTCAGACAGTATACGTATATGCAAATGAATCCTTACCCGTCCGATCATTATGAATTCTATTACGCTTACCCGTTACCCGTGAGATGAATCTTCAGTCAACTAAAGTTTGAGACTTAAAAAATTTCGAGCTGATCGAAAAAGTTTTTTCGTCATGGATCGACTTAGAAATGTCCAAAAGGCATAATGATGAAGTAAGTTTTGGCGCAGGAAAATTTTAAAGCACATTTTGACAAATAAACTTTCAGACAATTCAATTCAGATATAACAATTCTCTTCCTGGCGTTGTTCACTTAAATAGACTAAAAATTGGTCACATATATAAAATATTATCAAACTTTGATTATTAAGCTATTACGACGAGCGATTTGAAGACTTTTGGAAAAAATAAAGGCAAAAAGAAACAAATAAAGAAACAATTATACAAAAAGTTGCAAGACTTGTACCTGGGAATAGTCCACAACTTTCACTCATGATGGCCTCGGTGTTTACCACTATACCATGATGTCAACGATGGAAACAAGAAAGAAATTAACTTACTTCAATATTGTGTTTATTGCTGTACTGTAGATAGTCTTTCGATTTGACCGTGCATAAGAATTCTCTTCATGGCGTTGTGCAATTAAATCGACTAAAAATTGGCCACATATACAAAATATTATCAAACTGTGAGTTATTAAGCTGTTATGAGGAACGATTTGGAGACTTTTGGGAAAAAATAATGGCAAAGAGAAATAAAGAAAAAATTACACAAAAAGTTTCGAGACTTGTATCTGGGAATGGTCCACAACTTTCGCCCATGATGGGGTCGGTGTTTACCACTATACCATGATGTCAACGATGGAAACAGGAAACAAATTAACTTACTTCAATATTGCGTTTATTGCTGTACTGTAGATAGTCTTTCAATTTCACCGTGCATAACAATTCTCTTCATCGTGTTGTTCAGCTAAATCGACTAAAAATTGCCCAAATATACAAAATATTATCAAAATTTGAGTATTAAGCTGTTATGAAGAACGATTTGGAGACTTTTCTGAAAAGGGAGACTTTGATTTGATTTGGAGACTTTTCGTCATCTTTGGTTAAATCGACACAAAATTGTCCAACTATACAAAGTATAATTAAAATCTGACAAGCAAACTGTTATGAGGAGCAATTTGGGGGGAAAATAATGGAAAAAATATTAAAGAAAAATTATACGAAAAGTGACGAGAATTTTACCGGGTAGCGACCCACGGCATTCATGCATAATGGCGTCAGTCTTTACCACTATACCATGATGTCAACGATGAAAACAGGTAACAGATTACACGACGTCAGTTTTGTTTTTCCCCTTGTACTAGCTGTATGTAGATTTTTTGGATTTTACCCCACATATAGGATTCTCTTCATCCTTGTTCATCCTTCGTATCTTTGGTTAAATCGACTCAAAATTGTCCAATTATACAAAATATAATCAAAATTTGACAAACAAGCTGTTATGAGGAGCAATTTGGGGGGAAAATAATGGAAAAAATATTAAAGAAAAATTATACGAAAAGTGACGAGAATTTTACCGGGGAGCGACCCACGGCATTCATGCATAATGGCGTCAGTCTTTACCACTATACCATGATGTCAACGATGAAAACAGGTAACAGATTACACGACGTCAGTTTTGTTTTTCCCCTTGTACTAGCTGTATGTAGATTTTTTGGATTTTACCCCACATATAGGATTCTCTTCATCCTTGTTCATCCTTCGTATCTTTGGTTAAATCGACTCAAAATTGTCCAATTATACAAAATATAATCAAAATTTGACAAACAAGCTGTTATGAGGAGCAATTTGGGGGGAAAATAATGGAAAAAATATTAAAGAAAAATTATACGAAAAGTGACGAGAATTTTACCGGGGAGCGACCCACGGCATTCATGCATAATGGCGTCAGTCTTTACCACTATACCATGATGTCAACGATGAAAACAGGTAACAGATTACACGACGTCAGTTTTGTTTTTCCCCTTGTACTAGCTGTATGTAGATTTTTTGGATTTTACCCCACATATAGGATTCTCTTCATCCTTGTTCATCTTTGTTCATCCCTCGTCATCTTTGGTTAAATCGACTCAAAATTGTCCAATTATACAAAATATAATCAAAATATGACAAAGCAGCTGTTATGAGGAGCAATTTGGGGGGAAAATAATGAAAAAATATTAAAGAAATATTATACGAAAAATGACGAGAATTTTACCGGGGAGCGATCCACAGCATTCATGCATGATGGCGTCAGTCTTTACCACTATACCACGATGTCAACGATGGAAGCTGGTAACAGATTACACGACGTCAGTTTTCTTTTTCCCGTTGTACTAGCTGTATGTAGATTTTTTGGATTTCACCCTGCATATAGGATTCTCTTTATCCTTGTTCATCTTTGTTCATCCCTCGTCATCTCTGGTGAAATCGACTCAAAATTGTCCAATTATACAAAATATAATCAAAATATGACAAAGCAGCTGTTATGAGGAGCAATTTGGGGGGAAAATAATGAAAAAATATTAAAGAAATATTATACGAAAAATGACGAGAATTTTACCGGGGAGCGATCCACAGCATTCATGCATGATGGCGTCAGTCTTTACCACTATACCACGATGTCAACGATGGAAGCTGGTAACAGATTACACGACGTCAGTATTCTTTTTCCCTTGTACTAGCTGTATGTAGATTTTTTGGATTTCACCCTGTATATAGGATTCTCTTCATCCTTGTTCATCTTTGTTCATCCCTCGTCATCTCTGGTTAAATCGACTCAAAATTGTCCAATTATACAAAATATAATCAAAATATGACAAAGCAGCTGTTATGAGGAGCAATTTGGGGGGAAAATAATGAAAAAATATTAAAGAAATATTATACGAAAAATGACGAGAATTTTACCGGGGAGCGATCCACAGCATTCATGCATGATGGCGTCAGTCTTTACCACTATACCACGATGTCAACGATGGAAGCTGGTAACAGATTACACGACGTCAGTTTTCTTTTTCCCGTTGTACTAGCTGTATGTAGATTTTTTGGATTTCACCCTGCATATAGGATTCTCTTTATCCTTGTTCATCTTTGTTCATCCCTCGTCATCTCTGGTGAAATCGACTCAAAATTGTCCAATTATACAAAATATAATCAAAATATGACAAAGCAGCTGTTATGAGGAGCAATTTGGGGGGAAAATAATGAAAAAATATTAAAGAAATATTATACGAAAAATGACGAGAATTTTACCGGGGAGCGATCCACAGCATTCATGCATGATGGCGTCAGTCTTTACCACTATACCATGATGTCAACGGTGGAAGCTGGTAACGGATTACACGACGTCAGTTTTCTTTTTCCCGTTGTACTAGCTGTATGTAGATTTTTTGGGTTTTACCCTGCATATAGGATTCTCTTCATCCTGGTTCATCTTTGTTCATCCCTCGTCATCTTTGGTTAAATCGACTGAAAATTCTCCAATTATACAAAATATAATCAAAATATGACAAACAAGCTGTTATGAGGAGCAATTTAGGGGGAAAATAATGGAAAAAATATTAAAGAAAAATTATACGAAAAATGACGAGAATTTTACCGGGGAGTGATCCACAGCATTCATGCATGATGGCGTCAGTCTTTACCAATATACCATGATGTCAAAGACGGAAACAGGAAACAAATTAACTTACTTCAATATTGTGTTTATTGCTGTACTGTAGATAGTCTTTCGATTTCACCGTGCATAAGAATTCTCTTCATGGCGTTGTTAAGTTAAATCGACTAAAAATTGGCCACATATACAAAATATTATCAAACTTTGAGTATTAAGCTGTTATGAGGAACGATTTGGAAACTTTTGGTAAAAATAATGGAAAAGACAAATAAAGGAAAAACTATAGAAAATGTTACCAGACTTGTACCTGGGAATGGTTCACAAATTTCGCCCATGATGGCCTCGGTGTTTACCATTATACCATGATGTCAACGAAGAAGCTGGTAACAAATTACAAAAGTCAATACTAAAATATTCTATTTTCCGTTCTACTAACTGTATGTAGATTTATTGGATTTCACCCTGCATAAGATTCTCTTCATCGTTATACATCGTTGTTCATGCCCTCGTCTTCGTTGGTCAAATCGACTCAAAATTGTCCAAATATACGAAATATTACGAAAATATGAGTATTAAGCAGTTATGAGGGGCGATTTGAAGACTTTTGGAAAAAATAAAGGCAAAAAGAAATAAATAAAGAAAAAATTATACAAAAACTTGCAAGACTTGTACCTGGGAATGGTCCACAACTTTCGCCCATGATGACCTCGGTGTTTACCACTACACCATGATGTCAAGGATGGAAACAGGAAACAAATTAACTTACTTCAATATTGTGTTTATTGCTGCAATGCAGATAGTCTTTCGATTTCACCCTGCATAACAATCCTCTTCATGGCATTGTTCAGTTAAATCGACTAAAAATTACCCAAATATACAAAATATTATCAAAATTTGAGTACTAAGCTGTTATTAGGAACGATTTGGAGACTTTTGGTAAAAATAATGGCAAGAGAAATAAAGAAAAAATTATACAAAAAGTTACGAGACTTGTACATTGGAATGGTCCTCAAATTTCGCCCATCACGGCCTCGCTGTTTACCACTATACCATGATGTCAACGAAGAAGCTGGTAACAAATTACAAAAGTCAATACTTAAATATTCTATTTTCCGTTCTACTAACTGTATGTAGATTTTTGGGATTTCACCCTGCATCAGATTCTCTTCATCGTTATACATCGTTGTTCATGCCTTCGTCATCGTTAGTCAAATCGACTCAAAATTGTCCAAATACACGAAATATTATGAAAATATGAGTATTAGCAGCTATGAGGGGCGATTTGAAGACTTTTGGAAGAAATAAAGGCAAAAAGAAAGAAATAAAAGAAAAAATTATACAAAAAGTTGCAAGACTTGTACCTGGGAATGGTCCACAACTTTCACGCATGATGGCCTCGGTGTTTACCACTATACCATGATGTCAAGGATGGAAACTGGAAACAAATTAACTTACTTCAATATTGTGTTTATTGCTGTACTGTAGGTAGTCTTTCGATTTCACCGTGCATAAGAATTCTCTTCATGGCGTTGTTCAGTTAAATCGACTAAAAATTGGCCACATATACAAAATATTATCAAACTTTGAGTATTAAGCTGTTATGAAGAATGATTTGGAGACTTTTGGGAAAAAATATTGGCAAGAGAAATAAAGAAAATATTATACAAAAAGTTACGAGACTTGTACGTGGGAATGGTCCACAACTTTCGCCCATGATGGCCTCGGTGTTTACCACTATACCATAAGGTTAACGAAGAAACTGGTAACAAATTAATTACAAAAGTCAATACTTAAATATTCTATTTTGCGCTATACTAGCTGTATGTAGATCTTTTGGATTTCACCCCACATATAGGATTCTCTTCATCCTTGTTCATCTTTGTTCATCCCTCGTCATCTTTGGTTAAATCGATTCAAAATTGTCCAATTATACAAAATATAATCAAAATATGACTATTAAGGTGTTATGAGGAGCAATTTGGGGGGAAAATAATGGAAAAAATCTTAAAGAAAAATTATACGAAAAATGACGAGAATTTTACCGGGGAGCGATCCACAGCATTCATGCATGATGGCGTCAGTCTTTACCACTATACCATGATGTCGACGATGGAACCAGGTAACAGATTACACGACGTCAGTTTTCTTTTTCCCGTTGTACTAGCTGTATGTAGGTTTTTTGGATTTCACCCCACATATAAGATTCTCTTCATCCTTGTTCATCTTTGTTCATCCCTCGTCATCTTTGGTTAAATCGATTCAAAATTGTCCAATTATACAAAATATAATCAAAATATGACTATTAAAATGTTATGAGGAGCAATTTGGGGGGAAAATAATGGAAAAAATCTTAAAGAAAAATTATACGAAAAATGACGAGAATTTTACCGGGGAGCGATCCACAGCATTCATGCATGATGGCGTCAGTCTTTATCACTATACCATGATGTCAACGATGGAAGCAGGTAACAGATTACACGACGTCAGTTTTCTTTTTCCCCTTGTACTAGCTGTATGTAGATTTTTTGGACTTCACCCTGCATATAGGATTCTCTTCATCCTTGTTCATCTTTGTTCATCCCTCGTCATCTTTGGTTAAATCGACTCAAAATTGTCCAATTACAGAAAATATAATCAAAATATGACAAACAAACTGTTATGAGAAGCAATTTGGGGGGAAAATAATGGAAAAAATATTAATGAAAAATTATACGAAAAATGACGAGAATTTTAGCCGGGAGCGATCCACAGCATTCATGCATGATGGCGTCAGTCTTTACCACTATACCATGATGTCAACGATGAAAGCTGGTAACAGATTACACGACGTCAGTTTTCTTTTTCCTGTTGTACTAGCTGTATGTAGATTTTTTGGATTTCACCCTACATATAAGATTCTCTTCATCCTTGTTCATCTTTCTTCATCCCTCGTCATCTTTGGTTAAATCGACTCAAAATTGTCCAATTATACAAAATATACCTAAAATATGAATATTAAGCTGTTATCAGGAGCAATTTGGGGGCAAATTAATGGAAAAAATATTAAAGAAAAATTATACAAAAAATGACGAGAATTTTACCGGGGAGCGATCCACAGCATTCATGGAAGATTGCGTCAGTCTTTACCACTATACCATGATGTCAACGATGGAAGCAGGTAACAGATTACACGACGTCAGTTTTCTTTTTCCCCTTGTACTAGCTGTATGTAGATTTTTTGGACTTCACCCTGCATATAGGATTCTCTTCATCCTTGTTCATCTTTGTTCATCCCTCGTCATCTTTGGTTAAATCGACTCAAAATTGTCCAATTACAGAAAATATAATCAAAATATGACAAACAAACTGTTATGAGAAGCAATTTGGGGGGAAAATAATGGAAAAAATATTAATGAAAAATTATACGAAAAATGACGAGAATTTTAGCCGGGAGCGATCCACAGCATTCATGCATGATGGCGTCAGTCTTTACCACTATACCATGATGTCAACGATGGAAGCTGGTAACAGATTACACGACGTCAGTTTTCTTTTTCCTGTTGTACTAGCTGTATGTAGATTTTTTGGATTTCACCCTACATATAAGATTCTCTTCATCCTTGTTCATCTTTCTTCATCCCTCGTCATCTTTGGTTAAATCGACTCAAAATTGTCCAATTATACAAAATATACCTAAAATATGAATATTAAGCTGTTATCAGGAGCAATTTGGGGGCAAATTAATGGAAAAAATATTAAAGAAAAATTATACAAAAAATGACGAGAATTTTACCGGGGAGCGATCCACAGCATTCATGGAAGATTGCGTCAGTCTTTACCACTATACCATGATGTCAACGATGGAAGCAGGTAACAGATTACACGACGTCAGTTTTCTTTTTCCCGTTGTACTAGCTGTATGTAGATTTTTTGGATTTCACCCCACATATAGGATTCTCTTCATCCTTGTTCATCTTTGTTCATCCCTCGTCATCTTTGGTTAAATCGACTCAAAATTGTCCAATTATACAAAACATAATCAAAATATAACAAACAAGCTGTTATGAGGAGCAATTTAGGGGGAAAATAATGGGAAAAATATTAAAGAAAAATTATACGAAAAATGACGAAAATTTTACCGGGGAGCGATCCACAGCATTCATGCATGATGGCGTCAGTCTTTACCAATATACCATGATGACAAAGACGGAAACAGGAAACAAATTAACTAGATAGTCTTTCGATTTCACCCTGCATAACAATTCTCTTCATGGGGTTGTTCAGTTAAATCGACTAAAAATTGGTCACATATACAAAATATTATCAAAATTTGAGTACTAAGCTGTTATGAGGAACGATTTGGAGACTTTTGGTAAAAATAATGCAAAATTGATATAAAAGTTACGAGACTTGTACCTTGGAATGGTCCACAACTTTCGCCCATGATGGCCTCGGTGTTTACCACTATACCATGATGTCAACGAAGAAACTGGTAACAAATTACAAAAGTCAATACTAAAATATTCTATTTTCCGTTCTACTAACCGTATGTAGATTTTTTGGATTTCACCCTGCATAAGATTCTCTTCATCGTTATACATCGTTGTTCATGCCCTCGTCATCGTTGGTCAAATCGACTCAAAATTGTCCAAATATACAAAATATTATGAAAATATGAGTATTAAGCAGATATGGAGCGATTTGAAGACTTTTGGGCAAAATAATGGCAAAAGGAAATAAATAAAGAAAAAATTATACGAAAAGTTACGAGACGTTTACCTGGGAATGGTCCAGAACTTTCGCCCATAATGGCTTCGGTGTTTACCACTATACCATGATGTCAACGATGGAAACAGGTAACAAATTACATTACTTCAATATTGTGTTTATTGCTGTACTGTAGATAGTTTTTCGATTTCACCCTGCATAAGGATTCTCTTCATCGCGTTGTTCAGCGATCCACAACTTTCATAGATGATGGCCTCAGTCTTTACCACTATACGATGATGTCAATGATGGAAATCTGTCACAAATTACTTTAATTCAATTTCGCCCTGTACTGCATAGGGCATATACTATTTACAAATAGGACAACGGGATGAGAAAGAATGTACTGATCAAATCCGCGCGAAAGTGGTTTGAGACGAGATTGTGCAACTGGAATACTAAAACAAGAAGATATACAGGTCAATAGACACGAAAGGTGTTTAATTATTCAACATTTGAGACTGGATATTGCTAACAATATAAAAGATGCAGTGAAATGCCAGCTTTATTTTACCTGGTGTACGGCATGGCGACAGTTTGTTGGGAAAACAAAGTATTGTTGCTAGGAGGTATGGATGAGAAAGAGTTAGATGACGTCATTTCGTACGACACCGAGTCAGGAGAGACGACGCGATTGCCACACATGACGCAGAAGCGAGGTGGTTGCTGCGCGGTCAACACTCCCACTGTTGACACGAGCAGTGATTGCTCGTCTGACACGAGCACCGATACTCTGGTCGCGTTAGCAAGTTTACGAAGCCTCAACACAGTTGAAAGACACGATATCCACAGCCACGCGTGGCAAGATATGCCTCCCACGAGAGAAGCCCGAGAATTCTGCACAGCGGTCGTTTCTCCAGTAAATTTCGAGTTAGAACAATGAAAATAATTATTCCTAAGAACAATGAGATGAGATGAAAGATAGCATTCGTTCTTCTCAAAATCACGAACAAAAATTACACAGGATCTGCTCAACACAGACCGTGATACGTTTGTAATATTACACAGGGATATAGAATTTTTACAAAATTAAATGTTAAGAACTTTTAACTTTCAGAACTTTTAACACTAAAATATTGACATTTGATCCCGAATTTTGATCCCAAACCTCTACGAATAACCAAAGTAAAAGGAACGATGATTACTGCAGAAAAAACAGGATTCGCTATCACTAGAAACCAATCGTTTTCAAACCTATTAAAACAACTGGGCTGCCCTCTGAAGATGAGGAGGAAATCTTTAATGGAAGATAATGATGAACATGAAGAACAACGTGATATTGGAGACAATGAAGATAACAATAATCACAGCCGAGATGAACAACAAAATCTAGAACGACAATATCCAAGGAGAGAACGAAGAAAGCCGAACTATTATCATTAAGCCTTATTGTAAATAGAAAGGGCTGACAGTGACAGTCATATAACTTGTTGGACAATCAACAATTTGTATTATCATTCATATTCTGTTTTGTTTAATACCAATACATAGCTAATAGCTATAGTGGTAGATGATTAACAATGAACTGCAATTGTGAAAAACTCTGAGAAAAGAAGGGATGTAGTGTCTAGCATAATTAGCATAATGAATATTAATTATAGACCACGAGGAAGTAAGCAAGATGGCGATATATCATGCAACTGTAATATAAGTTCTGTTAGAGATTATTAAAGAAAATAACAATGTTATAGACAACATTATACAGACCAGCGCCGTTCCTAGACGCGATAATTGGGGTGTGTATATTCATATATTCATGTTCATATACCGTAAAGACAATCGCTTTCAAAAGAAATCCGTTGGGCAGAACACGAATATATGAATATACACCCCCCCCCAATTATCGCGCTAGGAACCGCCCTGATGAAGAAACACAAATTTATGCGAAAAAAGGAACAGAGTAGCGAATTTGATATATCGTCACCGACGCCGCAAGCTAGAACTATTCGACGGCAGTTACTGTTAATAGTTCCGATTGTTATTTGACAACTAAATAAAATTATCACAATCGTTCCATTTAAATATTGAAGTTTATAAATCTGTTAAAATAAACTCAACAAATTTGTTCTAACAGTAAGAAATTTTAAGCCAAATACATGGCCTTTCCGATTATAAAGTAAAACGACGTATTCACATTCACGCAAATACCGCTGGAAAAAAACGAAGCCCGCGCTTCCGGAAGCAAAATGCATAGCAACCGAACATGATGTTTAATTATTCAATATTTGAGACTGCAAATTGCTAGATGGCTACGAAGCAGAAATGATACTAATTTGTTACTGTCGTTCCAGTTGAAGTGTTCCTCAAATATTGATTCAATACATTACCTCGGGCTGACCAATTCATTTGTTCACACAAAACTGAATTCGGTAAGTTATCTCTTGTAAATAAACCACCAAGTTGATTTCGTGAAGAAAATTGACATTTAAGACTTGGTGCTCGTAAAATGATGCATTGTAAAACCTGATCGCTATCAATGCAAACTGCGGGGAATATTTTAAGCAAATATATATACTTTAAAACGTTTTAAAATTAACAAGACGCGTTCTCAGGCGTTCACACTGGTCTCGGTTGGCCAAACGCACAAAATGTCGTCTGGGTTGAATAGGTGATTGCAACCACTCCCATGGGATTCAAAGGACAAAGAGATTTTCGCCATGTTGGATGAATTAGGGCCATTTATACGAGCGAAAATATTAAGCCGCGAACGACTCGTATAAACAGTCAATTTGTTCGCAAGCCGCGGCTAAAATAAGCCAAGGCTTGAAAGCTAGGACTAAGGCCCGGTTTAGACGCCGTGCTTTTCATGAGCCGAACTTAATTCATATTTTACTCGAGTAAAATAGGCGTACTTCCAATTTTGATTTAGACAGGCGTGCTTTTCATGAGCCGTACCAGGGCGTAGTAAAACACGGGCGGTGAAACGCGCTAATATTTGCCTGATCCATGTGTGATGCACGGGAGACTGGCGCGAGCGTGCGAAATGCGCGGATGAAGCGGGATTTTTAAAGATGAAGCGAAGCAAAAATAAGAGACAAAAATATTTAAAGTGCAATCAAAAAGTGCAAATTTTTAAGGTAAATTTATCCTTAAAATGGAAAAAAATTAACTTGTTATAAAATAGAGACTCTGGCAATTAACTAGTATTGCAAATTACATCGCTGGAGTTGGAAAAGCATTTTTAAAATGTGAAATTATTTGAAGGCATAGCGATTTTATCATAAAATATATTTACATTTTTCAGGCAATGACAAATTGTAGTCGAGTTTTTTAGCCAGACCGAGTGGAAAAAAAGTTAACTTCAACCCTTTAAATTATCTATAATTAGTTATACTTTCGATCTGAAAATGTTAGAAAATGGGCTTTTGTGGGCTTTTTTTTCAATTTAAAGATTTATGACCAGGTCACTTGCGTAATTTACAATGACACAACTTGTGACCTTGTTTTGATAAAGTTAGAAAACAATTGTCAATTTAGAAAGCATTGGAAACAATTTCATTAACATATTCAGGCATTCAAATGCAATATAAAAGTTAGGGAAAATATTCAATTATAAGGAACAAGCAGAAAATTCCGTTTTTACCATGTTAAAGGTTGTTTTATTTCTCTTTTCGAACTTACAATATGCAACTGAAATGCCCGCCAAAAGACTCCAAATTGCATGTTCACAGCGATGTCGCAGTTTTACAAGCGCGGAAAATTTTTGACCTTTAAATATTTCATGCACAGTATATGAAAACTAGCTTTATTTTTGATGTTTTTGGATAATTTAAGTACCTAATTTTCTAAAAATCACCAAATGATAATGGGCTTTTTAAATTTTTAAACATTTTTTTGGCTTATTTTTGACATGTGCATGCCAAGTCTACACAATGCCATATCGAATGCAAGCAAGCGATGTAGTTTGTTGTCGCAGTTTTACAAGCGCGGAAACTTTTTAACTTTTAAATATTTCATGCACAATATATGAAAACTAGCTTTATTTTGATGTTTTTGGATAATTTAAGTACGTAATTTTCTGAAAATCATCAAATGATAATGGGCTTTTTTAATTTTTAAACATTTTTTTGCCCTTATTTTTGACATGTGCATGCCAAATCTACACAATGCCATAACGAATGCAAGCAAGCGATAGTTTGTTGTCGCAGTTTTACAAGCGCGGAAAATTTTTAACTTTTAAATATTTCATGCATAATATATGAAACCTATTTTTATTTTGATGTTTTTGGATAATTTAAGTACCGTAATTTCCTGAAAATCATCAAATGAGAATGGGCTTTTTTAATTTTTAAACATTTTTTTGCCCTTATTTTTGACATGTGCATGCCAAATCTACACAATGCCATATCGAATGCAAGCAAGCGATAGTTTGTTGTCGCAGTTTTACAAGCACGGAAACTTTTTAACTTGTAAATATTTCATGCACAATATATGAAAACTAGCTTTATTTTGATGTTTTTGGATAATTTAAGTACGTAATTTTCTGAAAATCATCAAATGATAATGGGCTTTTTTAATTTTTAAACATTTTTTTTCCCTTATTTTTGACATGTGCATGCCAAATCTACACAATGCCATATCGAATGCAAGCAAGCGATAGTTTGTTGTCGCAGTTTTACAAGCGCGGAAAATTTTTAACTTTTAAATATTTCATGCACAATATATGAAAACTAGTTTTATTTTGATGTTTTTGGATAATTTAAGTACCTAATTTTCTGAAAATCATCAAATGAGAATGGGCTTTTTTGTTTAAACATACTTTTTTCCAGCTTTTTTCATAGGGTGTCAGATTTCAAAAACGCAAAGTCGAAGGCAATGCTATTCCATGTGTAGATTTCGGCATGGACATGTCAAACTGAATCAGGGCAAAAATGTTTAAAAATTAAAAAAGCCCATTTTCATTTGGTGATTTTCAGAAAATTACATACTTAAATTATACAAAAACATCAAAATAAAAATAGGTTTCATATATTGTGCATGAAATATTTAAAAGTTAAAAATTTTCCGCGCTTGTAAAACTGCGACAACAAACTATCGCTTGCTTGTATTTCATGTGTAGATTTGGCATGCACATGTCAAAAACAAGGCCAAAAAAATGTTTAAAAATTAAAAAAGCCCATTTTTATTTGGTGATTTTCAGAAAATTACGTACTTAAATTATATAAAAACATCAAAATAAAAATAGGTTTCATATATTGTGCATGAAATATTTAAAAGTTAAAAATTTTCCGCGCTTGTAAAACTGCGACAACAAACTATCGCTTGCTTGTATTTCATGTGTAGATTTGGCATGCACATGTCAAAAACAAGGCCAAAAAAATGTTTAAAAATTAAAAAAGCCCATTCTCATTTGGTGATTTTCAGAAAACTAGGTACTTAAATTATATAAAAACATCAAAATAAAACTAGTTTTCATATATTGTGCATGAAATATTTAAAAGTTAAAAATTTTCCGCGCTTGTAAAACTGCGACAACAAACTATCGCTTGAAAAAAAGAACTTGCTGTTTTTATCAATTTATGGCGCTTCATCTGGTGGAACTTGACAAAAATACATGTGATTGAACATACCTGATTTCCAAACACACATTCCAGTTGCAAGTTTTACAACAACAGCCGTTTAAAAAACTTTTTCTTCGTCTTTTTTTTCATATTATAAACGAACGAAGTTGTTTTGCAAAAACAATCGATCCTCGTGAGTGAGATCCCAGACTTATATCTTACACTACAACATTCCCCATATAATCAGCCGTGATTAAGAATCCGGAAAAAAGATTTTGTCTATAGTAATAGCACAGATCCCAAATCCATTGTGAATTCAGCTTGAATTGTACCTTTTTACGTAGTAATTTTAAAAAGAAGTCAAAACAAACATGTATGCCTGATCAAACCACATCGAATTCGAATAAAAATGAAAATATGCGGGGGGACCTGCATCACACATAGATCAGGGGCGCCATAGTCGTTTCACCGCCCGTGTTTTACAGCGCCCTGTTGTTACAGATCTGCGCCCTGAGATCTGCAAACAAGTTGTAACAAAGTTGTTGTCAAGTTGATATCAGGATATGTCCGCACTGCATGCGTGTCCCTCAATCCACCCTTTTCGAGGTTGACCTGCAGGGAGTAGCACGTGTGCTGAAGCGCAACTCTTCGGACAAACAAACAATATGCTATATTGTAGTGGTAGTATGTTGCACTGGTAAAAATCTTTATTTACAGTTTATAAAACGTAAAATATAAATCAAGCTTTCGGACTAAGCGTCCATCGTCAGGATTAAAATGGCAAAAATGATTAGTCGCTTAAATACTATTTACATGTTAATGACCTAACTAAAATATTAGGCTTTTTGAATAATTAGACTAAAAGACAAAAGAGTCATAATAGAGTCATATAAGCGTAATATACAGGGTGTCTCAAAAAAACCCAAAATCATTGAAATAACGTATTGTTCGAATTTCAATGCCGTAACACAAAGGATTTTGACAGGGTGATTAATTTGTTTTAAAAAATTAAAATATCTTTGTAAAGTGAACGTTTGTTTGCTCATGGGAATTTAAAAATGCTTCGTAAATTCGTGGGTTTAGTACTTATGCCTGACATAACAAGTTTACGCTGAGTATTACCATTCATTATAGCAGTTATGTCAATCTTTTATGCACTCGTGGGATTAACTTAGTGCTAGGGCATTGAATATCGAACAATACGTCAATTTCAATGATTTTGGGTTTTTTTGAGACACCCTGTACAGGGTGTATAAAAAAAACGCAACCTCGGAATTTCCTTAGAAATCACTGTGCAATTCTTAAGCATAAAAGATTTTAGGGCCGCTGGGAATTGAAATCGTATTGCTAATAGATCATAATTGAACCATGTTTCATTAAACGTTCTTATTGTCTCACTAAGACGAAGATTGACGAGTTGAGCTCATTTTAGATAAATTAACATTCAATTTTAATTCCCTCTTAGCTTGGGAATTGATTATGTTTCGTTTCCCATGCAATTTCCAACGGTGGAAGAATGTGATTTCGACCGGCATTTTTTATTTGACCAGTGTGCGGCCATTTCTCATCGTTACGATTTAAAAAGAGTATCATTGAAAAGCTAAATAACTCGGTTCTTTCGTCCTATGTAAAAATTGAATTGTTTAGCCACGTTTATGATGCACGACACTCTGGTGAATTGCCATTGCGTTTTTTTAGACACCTTGTATATATGATGATCGAGCCTTCCGGAAAATTAACTAACATTAAAAAACCCATTAATAATTCAGGAGGAAAACACAAAGAAAAATCATAAGCGTGTCGTATCTTTATATGTGATAAAAAATCATGTTAATTTACATAAACTTTAGCTTTGATTTTCTCGGCCGGTTTAGACAAAGTTTATTTTAACTCTTTCGCCAATGAACTCATATAAGATGAGTCGTTTTTTAAGCCATTCAATTGTAGTCGTGTTTTATCAGATATAAAACGCTCGGCTGCGCCTCGCGTTTTATATCTGATAAAACACTCCTACGCGTGCTTTAAATAGTACATGAAGGCTTTAACTAGCAGGGGCATTAAACAGGGGTGGGAGGGGAAGGGAGAATTTGCAGAATTTGAATGCTGTTCCAACAATAAAGCGAATGATTCCCTATATAATTTTTTTTCGACTTTAAAACAATTCTTTGCAAAATTTTTATCGTTTACGATGACGGTTAAAAATATTTAATACAGCTACCTTTTGATGCTTTTTTGCCTATACAGGGTGTATCAAAAAAAACTGAACAGATTTGAAATAGCTCTCAATTTCGCAAAATACCTATTTGTATCCGGTTTTTTATATATATATATAGCTTCTTTGGGTACTTATAATGTAGAATAATTGGGGGTGTCTTTTCCAACAAACTAAAAATGGCTTCCGCACAAAGTTTAAAAGTTGTAATCATATTTTGAGTTAATAGGTGGAAACTTTGTCGGATTTTTAATTACTGTACAAAATTTCAGACAATTTGGTTTAGTTTAAGCCCTTTAACTATTCATTTTATTCTAAAAAATCAGCCTTTCGCATGGTTAATTAATGCCTCTACCTAATTTGCATATTGCTGACATATGCAAATTAGGCAAAGGCATTAATTAAGCATGCAAATAGCTGATTTTTAGGAAAAATGTAACTTTGCGTGAATAGTTAAAGGGCTTAAACTAAACCAAATTATCTAAAATTTTGTACAGTAATTAAAAACCCGACAAAGTTTACATCTATTAACTCAAAATATGATTACAACTTTTAAATTTTGTGCGCGAGCCATTTTTAGTTTGTTGGAAAAGACACACCCCCCTGGTTCACAAAATTTGAGTTCGAGAAATTTTTTTCATTATTCTACATTATAAGTACCCAAAGAAGCTATATATATAAAAGACCGGATACAAATAGGTGTTTTGCGAAATTGAGAGCAATTTCAAATCTGTTCAGTTTTTTTTTATACACCCTGTATATCCAGCTAGTTTGTTAACAAAGGTATTTTCTACCGCAATCGAAAGGACTGCTGTCGATTTGTCGAAAGAATTTTTTACATTTTTGTCGATAATATGTCAAGAGCTAGCCAGTTTACTAATTATAAGTAATGAAATGAAACGTTTTTAATTATTAAACCGCGTTATTAGCGTTTCACTAACCGATTTAAACGAATTTATCGAAAATTATTTAAATTCAAAGAATCTGCAGACTGAATTTATTATATTTTTGCATCGGTTTTACGTTAAATGAGAAAGAGCTGCTTGTTTTTATTAAGTAATAATATTTTTATTATATATAGGCACATATTCCTTGTAAATGAGAACAGTTCGTTTCCAAAGATCAAAGAAGAAGAGCAAAATTGTTTGCCCATCCTAATGTTCCACCAATGGTTTCTCGTCATTCTTATCTGTCTAATGGTGTTGGGTATATTATTCAACGGCTATATGTTGATGACATTTGCTCATTTATCAAGGATACGAATTAAGTTTCACAAATAATTTTGTCGCAAGCTTGGCGTTGGTTGATATACATGATGATGGTTATTCTCATGCCAATTTTAATTCTCAGCTTCCTTTTGCTTACGGGCAAATTGGAATTTGTTGTGAACCATATTTATTACTTTGTATGGTTTTGTGCTATGACAACTCTGCTCAATTTTGCTTGCATTAGCGTAGACAGAATGTTAGCCATTGCAAAGCCACTGTATCATCGAACTTTACCTCGATCACGGTGTATAAAGGTTATTGCATTCACATGGATTTTTCCTGCATTAGCGACAACTGCTTTAGTTTATCTATACCTGAGAACTACTGTAGACAGTATTATCCTAACCTGTCTTCATTTTTGCATTGGCTTTGTGATTCCCGCGTTAATAACAGTCGCATCGTATGTTATTATTGCTAGAGTTGTACTCTGTAGGCGAAGGATAAATGTTCACCGTTACAAACCATTACAACATCAATCGGGTAAAACATACTATCCGATTAGCGTGGAAATTTTACTGCCGGGTAATTTCGCCAAGTATTGTCATGTGGAACCTTTACTGGGTTGTGATGTTCAACCAATGCCAAAGTGACCTTGTCTTTCTCCGTTACAGAGGTAGCAAGTTTAGTTCCTATATCAGTGGCAGTTGTGAATCCACTTATATTGACTCTAATGACATCAGATTTTCGTATCTATCTGCTAAAGTAGTTGACTCGCTGCAGAACCGATGTGGAAAGAACAACAGGCAACTTTCCACACACCATAGCATGCATGAGAGCTACAAATAAGAAAGGTGTTTTGAGGTGATTCAGTATGTGAAATATGGCGATTAAGAGGCAGTCCGTGTAAAAACCGACCACTCGAATTTCTTAAGATTACAGATTTCCTTCAAACTTTCTGTGTGGAAGAAGTCATTCATGAAATGAACAAAAAACGTTGACTTGGAAATTGTAGTCAGTTTTAAAATTTTTTTCGCAATTATTTTCGGACGCGTTCGAAAACAAGTTAAAACGTTAATTACGCAAGTAATATTTGAGCTTTTTTATATCTCACAGTTCATCTCGCGCTTTTATTCTAACTTCTTGAAACTTACATATTTTATTATTTCCTGCCTAGGCATAAACCTAAACTAAAAATTATCCTGATCACTTGAAGCAAACAAAATATTGTGTATTTTTAAAAAACGTCTTTCGGACAGCTGATTAAACATTCGTGTTAGTATGCTGGCGGTAAATTATTTTTTCTCAAAAGTGCAACGGTATCAGGTATCCAATCTATTGCAGCTACTGAGTATTATGACACATCTACTAGAATAAATAATAAAATCTTTGGGCAGTGTGTTTTTCGCTTGACAAGCGCGTCATGAATATAGTCAATTTTCGCTAAGTCGACTAATTATAAGCTATAATTTGTTAATGCATTCACTTAAATTTTTCGCGTTAAAAACATACAAAACTGTGTACTGTTTCAAATATGGCTCTTTTTTGGATAGAGAGTAAGTTATAAATATGCAAACAATTATATATGCTTGAAATTTTACGTTTATGGGTATCATTAAATACTACATGCATGGTATATATAAACAAAAATGTATAAGAAAAGTGCGGGAAAGGATATATGTGTGCCAATTTATACGAATGCCTTGAAGGAGCACTTTTTCTCATCATAGATATAGTGCAGATTTATTTTGCCACTATAATATGAACAAATATTTTATATATGTTTAATATTTTCATGTTTTTTAAGAACTGCAATTACATGCTGATCTCGGTTAAAATCCTGTCACACTATTGCGTATGAGAGAAACGTATGAGTAGCGTAAACCATGCATGTGCATGCATACGTCCGCATACTCGAAAAATTTTTAACCATGCTTACCTTGGATGGTTCCCCGATTTTTAAATAGACACCTTACAATTTAGGACAGCAACGGCTACAAATACAATAAATAATTAAAAAGAATTCAATAATTGCAATATATGAATAATTTAGACATTGTCCTCGCTTTGTTTAGGGGCGGACCATTAGAAAATGGGGGAGGGGGGGGGGG